TGGATTCAGACTCTTTCTATCATCAGTGGATTTGTTCTACATACACAACTGAAAAGTAAGAAAAGGGATGCTGAGTCACGTTGGCCCTATGTAGAACATGGTGGAGTCTCTGCTTATGTGCAGTAGAGTAGGCACCACACCTCTGAATTCCATCGTTATCTCTCTTGGAACCAAGAAAAATAGCAACAGGCAGGAGGAAGAGCAACTACTTTGATCAGCTGTGGTTGTCTCTGCTGCACTATAATATGTACTGCCTGGGAGCGCAGTCAGTTGTCTTAAGCGAGAGAATGCCCCTGAAAGGTTAGGAGCATGTCGTGGAGGAACACACTTATTTCATAATATTTCTCTTCATTCTCTCACTTACTAACTTAATCACACTTTCTCTCACCAGGCTGACTCCTGCCTCTGAGCAATTGCCCAGCCTCTTCTCACAGTAGCCCATGTATCCTGCTTTTTCTCATCACACATTCTTGGGGTCATTGACTTGTTTGTATAATTGCGTTACAACCTGGACCACTCAACCCACACCAGCCAACTACGAGCTCCAGCTCCCACAGACATCCTGTAGGTACTTGGATTCAAGTACTTAAAGATGATCTTTACGTCTGAGAAGTTCTTGAGGCGGGGTAACTGAATGATTTGTTATTTCTTCTTTTTTTTTTTTTCAAGAAAGGGTTTTTCTGTGTAGCCCTGGCTGTCCTGGAACTTGCTCTGTAGACCAGGCTAGCCTGTGAGTGGCTATCACTTTAGGCTCTTCCTGAAGCTGACATTCCCAAGGCCTATCACCAATCTCTTTTTGATTACCCAAGAAAAATGGATGGATCAATAGATAATGGTTTCTTTCTATTGGAGGAACAACTTAAATTTATCATCTGCCATTTATTTGAAAAATTCACTCATGTAACATCCACCCATTTGGGGTATAGAAAAAGAAATAAGAGAGCACTAGAACTGTTGGTGTCTCTACCCCTATGCCATATGCTTACCAAGGCCTCTCTGTATTTCTGATGATCCACTTTCTCTTCCGTGAGCTAGAAAAGACTGTCAAGGTAACCTATCACTAAATTGACAGTTAACACTTGCTCCATTCTCCATTCAGTTGGTTGAGGCTTTGTTGGACCCATGTTAGAGTTCAAATTCTGCCTCTATCCAATCCTGTTCTCTCACCAGCTCCACTCTGCTCTCCCTTTGAAAGTATCTATCTCTAATAAATGTTTTGTATTCTCAAAACCCAAACATAGACTCTGTAATAAACCTCAATCATTTGGATGTCAAATGTCTGTGTGAAAATGGCTGAAGCCCTTTTGAGAGTGGGGAGTTCTGTAACCCCAGCAACTCCAGCATAAAGAGACAGGCAAAGCAGGACACTGGGGACACTGTCTTTAGGGGACATAGCGGCTGATGCGTCATCATGTGTCACCCTTGCATATTTTACAGCGGTCTTTAAAGTGTGGCCCCGGAACAGCAATGCTATTATGGCACAGCAGCTCATTTGGATGCAAAGTAACCCCAGACCTGCTGCATCAGAACCCCTGGAGCACAATGCTGTTTTTACTACAGGCTGATGCTTGTGATCCACTAATGGAAGCCAGTCATATTCCACTCCCTTTATCGCTGTTTTATATAGGGACAGATGGTGGTAAAGCAAGATTGAGCCAATGGAATACAAAGGAAAGCCATCTTGTGATATCTGGGAAAGATAACAAATCTCTCTTGTCGGCTGTGCCTGATTGCTGTGACCTAAGCACTGGCTCTTTAACGGTACTCCATGTTACTGATTCAATCCATCCAGACGTCCACCCGACCTCTAGACTGGGAACAAATACCCCCTTTAAGCCAGTTCTTTCTTTTCTTGTGTTTTCTTTTCTTACCTTTCCTCCATGCCTCCCCTGAAGAGCACTGAAGTCACTGGCATACACCATCCTGATTGACTGTTCAATGCATTTCCATTTCAAGCAGCTGAAGGCATCCCAAGACTAACGCTCATTTCAACTGGTTTGCAACCTGTTGCTGTATCTATTTCTCACAACGTCATCTTCTCTGAGTTCTCTTGCATCAGTCCCCTCCACTTTTCATTGAGTCAAATCCCACCCCCCTCCCATGTCCTTCATAGGTCAATCAAGATGACATCATTGTTCCCTCCATACTGTCTCCCTTCCTTGCTTCAATCCCACTTACTTTCTAAAGTCCCAGTCTGCTTCCCTCACATATGGCCTTCTGCTTCCTCTAAGTGCCTTATTGTGTACTGGCACCAGGCACTGAACGTGACATTCCACAGTTGCTAAGTAGACATGTGAATGATGACTTGCACTGGTCTTTGGAGAAGAAAATGCTGGGGTACCAGATGCTGCCCCCATCATTAAGTCATGGATATTCTTTACTGTGGTCACCTCATCAAATCCCACTACAACTGTAACTCTCACCCTACTGTGATCTGTCTGGAGTCAGATAAGGAGGGACACCTGTCCAGGGAGGAAGAAATGGAGGTGCCAGCCCCACATCAGCACCCAGCCCTTCCTCTGTGTCTGCTCTCTTAAGAAGCTTGATAGTACCAGCAGGTCTGAGTTTCCTGGCAGGAAGCAAGTGTGAGGATTGTACAAGAGCTGGGGGTGGCAGTGTAGCTTGGTGTTTGAGGATGTGGGTTTTAGAACCAGACCCCCTGAATGGGACTCTCTAGGAGGAGGCTGTTGTCTAATTACAATCTCAAGCAAGTTAGGTGACATCTCTGACCCTCTGTTTCCATGTCTGTAAAAATGGGCATTCTAATTATGTTGGCCTCATTTTAGGACATGAGAAATTCTTTAAAAGGTCACGTTCATAAACCACTTAGCATCCTGTCTGGCACACAGTGAGCACCCAATAAATAGCAGTCATTGTTGGGGACCCAGCGTCTCTGTGGTTCAGCGCTGGCTTCCCATTCCTCTGTGACTACGGGAGGTGAAGGCCTCTACACACTCTCCTATTGTGTTAGTCTGTCTTCTGCCACTGTTATAAAGCATCTGAGGCCAACTTAATAAAGGAAAGGTTTGTTTTGTATCAGAAGCTGCAATTCATGGTTGTTTGCCTCTGTTGCTTTGGGCTTGTGGTGGCAAAACACACAACAGCAGAGTGTGTGGTAGAGGAGGCTTATTCACTACAAAGCAACCCAGAAGCAAAGAGAAAAGCAAAAAGGGTCCAGGTGCCTACATCCCCTTCAGGAGCAGGCCCCGATGACTTAATTTCTTCTGCTGGCTTTGCCTCCTTAAAGTTCTATCACCACCAATAGTTAACGAGGCAAACCTTTCATCACACGGGCCTTCAGGGGACATTCGAGATTCAGACTATAGCAGCTGTTCATAGTCAGGGAAGCTCAGGGACAATGAAAAGAAAAAGCTAGGACCTCTAGTGCAGCTTGCCCTGGCATTCTGCCTGCTCAGCTGCTGCGCTTTAACACGTGGATATAAAAACATCGCCAACATCCTCTCCATGAGGTTCCCTAATGCCCAGCACCACCTCTCTAACCCACCAGAAGAACTAAAGAGTTCTGTGGTAGGCATTGCCCTTTGCATTCACCCAGCACTTCCTAGTGCTCACAGCCCATTTCTGTCTCTTCTTCCATGTGGCCCTTACACCAGCCCTGTATAACAGCTAAGAACAATCTTTGGTAAGTCTCCTTTCACCTATTATAAATGCAAAGTCCAGCGACTACGCAATTTACCAAACACCGTAGGGTCAGGAAGTTACAGTCAGGGCTCAGCCCCAGATGCCCTGGGCCAGACTTAGTCATTCCCACCCCCTCATGACCTTGTGCCCCTGTACATGCCATGGAATTTCCCAGTGAAACATATAATGGGTATGTTCTATGTACAAGATGCTTTCGGCGGTATAATAGAGTTGTGAAGAACTCCCTGGGACCCATTGTATATGTGTCCAACATAAAGAGGGATGGAACTTTCAACTAATTGTCTTTACTGTCATCCAAGCATGGGGACACATGCTTGCAATCACAGCATTCAGGAAGTTGAAGCAGGAGAGTCACCGAAAGTTTGAAGCCAGCCTGGGCTCCCAGAGAGACCATGTCTCAAACAAACAAACAAAAATATATTTACTTTCCTAACTTACCCTAAATTGTAAGCAAACTCTTGTTAACCTGAATATTTGCCCTCATCTTAACCTGTTGTGTTTATTCAACCAAGATTTCACATTTAAGGTATAAAATTGTTGTCTTCCTTTCTTTACTTTCAAGGAAGGAATCTCAAGTGTTTATGGAGGCTGGGGAGGGAGACCACAATCAAAGGGAAAGGTTTGGGAGTCAGCTCCATGAAAAGGACGGTCAGCCCTTGTTTGCAGTGGATTCGTAATAGTGCAGAGAGTACCAGGCAGGCAGCCCTGCGTAGGGCCTGCCAATCTGTGCACAGAAGTTTTGTGTTCGGATGTGGCCACTCTGAAACAGTCGGTCCCAGTCTCTGAGTCATCCATACACACTCAGTGTATGTGGTGGAAAAAGCTGTCAGGATCTTAAGACCCAACTTAGTACCCCGGCTCTGACACCCAATAGCTCTGTGACCTTCGGCAAGTTCCTTGGTGTCCTAGTCAGTTTCTATCGCTGTGACAAGACACCATGACAAGAAGCAGCATGGGGCGGAGGTTTACTTCATCTTACACTTACACATCACAGCCCATCACCAATGGAAGCCGAGGCCAGAACTCATGGCAGGAACCATGGAGGACCATTGCTTGCTGGCCTATTTCCTAAGGCTTGATCAGCCTGCTTTCTTATATACCCCGGAGCGTGCCCAGGTGTGGCACTGCCACAGTAGGCTGGGCCCTCCCACATGAATCACTCATTAAGAAAGTGTCTCATAGGCTTAACCCACAGGCCAAACTTATGAAGGCATTTTTCTCAGTTTTGGTTCCCTCTTCTCAGATAACTTTCTGTGTCAAGTTGTCAAAAAACAAAACCAACAAACAACAACAACAAAAACCCAGGGCTATTGGTGAAATTATTAAGGCCACTCCACGTAGTTAAAAGGGAGGTTTATTTAGCGGCATAACTTACAAATGAAGGGATAGGTAGGTTGCAGGGTCTGGGAAAGATGTAGCGCAGTCCGGCGGTGTTCTCTGGAGAACTTTGCTCTGTCTACCTCCAGCATCCAGGGTCCAGGAACCAAGAGAGGCGGCACATCTGGATCTTGGGTCTTCAGGGTCCTCCCTTGGCCCTGCCTTGTAGGCGTGACAGTTACTGAAGCCTCAATGGGGGTTGGAACTTCCAGATCAAGGTTGGAATGGCTACCCAATACACAGGGCACTTGGCCTCCCAGATCTTTGATTGCATCTGTAATAGGGGAGAGTAATACTAATATCCATAAAGGTGAAAGGTTTAAGCTGTCTACTTAGCTTGTTTTCTGAGTAGACTACCTGGTGCAGAGTCTTGCATGCTATTATTTCTTATCCTAAGCTATAAGTAAGCAATGCTGTCTAAGCTACACCCTCACAGATGATACAATTAAGTAACATAAGCAGACGACAAAAATCCAATAGTTATCCTTCAGCCTCTACCATTGCTAGAGAAAATTTCAGATATGTAGAGACAAAAGATTCTGCAGCCAGGCATGGCGTCACAGGTCTGCAATTCCAGTACTCAGTGGGCTGTGGCAGGAGGATTGAGTTCAAGGTGAGCCCTAGTTACACTGTGTGTGTGTGTGTGTGTGTCTGTGTGTGTATGTGTGTGTGTGTGTGTGTGTGTGTGTGTGTGTGTGTGTGTCCATGTCTGTGTGTGTTAAGGATCTGCCGTTCCTGTTTTCATTGTGACTTTGAGACCTTAAACCACAAATTCCAATGTAAGCTATCACAGCCCACCAGTCAAATTGTCAGTCTTCAAAGCAAGCATGAAAGTAAACAGCAATGACAATGATATACCTGAGAACTGTGGAAAAAGAAATCATTTCCACATCGATGACCTTCTTTCAATTTCACAATCCCTTGGTGGAAGAGACTGCAGCCCCACTGTACAGATAAGGAAACCAAGCTTCCGAGTCTCCGTGACAGGGCCTCCTAGTCTTCTATCTCCACACCTAGACATTCCTCCCGGACTCATCTTCAGAAATAGCAAAGATTACCACCCCTGTCAGATGTACGAGACGGCATGCCTGGCTCTCCCTCTCTAGGGGTTGCTGCCACCAAGGCCCAGCAGAGTGGAAAACAGAACCAACTGTCCCTCTCTCACCCCTTAACCAGAACCTTCCCCTTCGCTTACAGTGTGGCTACCATGAGCTCTGGCAACACACACAGCAGCAGGCCAGCTGAAGTCACCAAACGCAACCCATCATTCTCCCAGTGTTGGAGTTGTCCCATCCCTCCTTTCTAGAACATTATTTCTTTTTTTACAAAGGCTGTCGTATAATTTCCTCCAGGGCAGTTTTAATGAAATGCCCTGTTTCCTTATATAAGAAAGGCTCATGAAAAATACTGGAACTCACTAGTTGTATCAAAGAAGATAAATATTTTGGTTGGCACATTGTCAACTATTAATTCCCAAGTTCAACTCGACTATTTTGCTTAGAATATGAACACACGAGTTTGGGCTCACAAATTTAGGACCTGAAACATTCTGGGAAAAGCCTAAAGAAACCGGCCTTCTTACCCATGAGAAGTCCAACCCAAATGAAAACCACATTTCACAGAGGTGTTCCTGTGTTTCTTAAAAGACCAATGCCAGGGAGTGCCGATGGTTTTCAGGGTCATTTGATGCTAGCTCCTTCCACCTAGGCTCTCCAGAACCCTAGTGATGATTTCTCCCACTTTGGAGTGTTTTTACTCAAGATGGAAAGCGTCTCAAGCTATAAGGATGTGTGAAGGGGTGTCTAGTGTTCTTGTTAATAGAAAATGGTGGCGGCAGGCAATGGAGCCACAGTGTGGACCTGATATTTGAACCGACCTTCTCTCCATCTTCTCCCCTCCCCAACCAAGCCTCAGAAGCCATGCAGAGAAAGGACTCTCAAGGCTTGACTGTAGCAGAGGTGAGACAAATTGGGGAGCAACTGGGCAGCTCTTCCTTCCAGGACCTTAATTCAGGCCACTCTGAAGATACCATGGCTGCCAGCTATGTTACTGCGGGCATCTGTGCAGGCTCTATTGGGAGATTTCACTGGGCTACTAAAGATGTCATGAGTGTAGTCAGTAAATGACTTTACAGACAACACAGGGGGTTATTTAGGCCAGAGGGCCAACAAAAGGAACAAAGTAAATCCATGTAAAAACACTGTTAGAAAAAAACCTAAATAAACGCACCGTACCCGGAAGTCGTAAGAGCACAGTGGACAGCTGTCTCTTCCTGCCAGTGTCCATTTCCTCCTGGAAGCCTGTCCTTGCTCTGGGGAAATAACACCGTCCCACCCCGTTCATTCCTAGAAGCAGGGCTGGGAGGAGTTACAGAAAGGGATCCAATGAACCGAAGGCAATCATCCCATGTCCATTGTGTGCGGGCATGTAATCTAAAGAGACACTGGGAGGCGTTTTCTAGAGTTTCGAGGAAAGACAAGAGTTCACACTTCTGCTGGAATGGTGTGCTGGTGGTAGGCTTGAAACTTCTGTAGTCATTTAGTTACCACAGAGTGAAAGCACAAAAATGACTCAGGCAACCACAAAGTAGAAACCAAGGCTCCAGCCACATTGTCAAGGCTGAATGGACAGATGAAGGGAAGTCTGCTCCTTTTCCACAATGTGGATGAAAGCTCACCTGAGGCCTGCGGACCTCTCGGAAATGTTAGGGAGCTCTCACTGATACATAGCTCTCTCTGAAGATGAATTCTAGACTGTAAAAGTAACTGTCTACTCTGTAATTTGTGAGTACTATTTCCACGGTGTTTACGAGCATGGGAGTCAAACCCAGGGTCTGTAGACACTGCCTTCCTACTGACAACAGTCAACTTCCTTTGTGGAGTATACCAACAATGAAATATTAGCTGTTTCACTGTTGGAAGAGTTAACTACCCTGACACAAAGCAGAGAAGTGAACGTTACTGTAGTGGGTAGCTATTCCAGCTTTGACCTGGAAGTTCCAACCCCCATTGAGGCTTCGGTAACGGTCACACCTACAAGGCGGGGCCAAGAGAGGACCCTGAAGACCCGAGATCCAGATGCGCGGGCTCTCTTGGTTCCTGGCTCCAGGACGTTGGAGGTAGACAGAGCAGAGTTCTCCAGAGAACACCGCTGGACTGCCCTACACCTTTCCCAGACCCTGTAACCTATCCCTTCACTTGTAAGTTACCCCACAAAATAAACCTCCCTTTTAACTATATGGAGTAGCCTTAATAAATTCACCAATACATTACTATCACCATCCTGATTTCCTTTTTAAATTTTACTTATTATGATTGTGTGTGTTCATGTGGATGTTTTTGGTATGTGTGTGTTTACATCATTTGTTTATGATATAAATGATATAAACATCTTAGATTTTGGGGTCTTACCATGTTGGTGCATTTTTTCAGTGTTTTTTTTCCTAACAGTGCTTTTATATGCAGAGAGCCAGATGTGCCCTCTCTTGTATCTTACAGAAGTTCAACATCTCTTGCATCTTACAAGTCATGTGTGTGTTGTGTGTGTGTGTGTGCGCATGTAATTGTGTATAGGTGTGCAGGTATGCATGCCCTTATCTACCCACACAGAAACTAGAGGTATTCTTCTCTACTACCCTCTACCTTACTCCCTTGAGACAAGTTCGCACTCACTGAACCTGAAGCTAGACTGGCAATAAGCCAGCCCCAGCAATCTTCCTGTCTCTGCCGCCCACAGCACTGGGATTACAGTTGAGTACACAGCACGCCCAGCTTTTACATGAGTGCTAGGTCTTCATGCCTGCAGAGCAAGCTCCACTGAGCCATCTCCCCAGTCCTGAATCCCAATATTTGATACTTCAGGACACAGAACATCTTCAGTGTCAGCCAGTTGATTATCTTTCAATTTTATAATCTTCAGAACTTACAATACCTCTTCACATTTCATACAAATGGGGAATGAAAATTGGCAGAAGTATGTTCAGGCTTATTTTATAAATCAAAGCCAAAAGTTATTCATCAATTTTTAAAGGAAACTCAAAGTTATTAAGTCCAACAACAGACAATTTAACCCAATCCAAAGATAAAGTTATTTAACACGTGCTGAGTAATGACAGTGAGAAAATGGTGTTTTTGTTTTCCTAATTAGGTCATTGTTTCCATAAGAGCAGAAAACTGTGTGTTTTCAGTAAAAGCAATGCAATCCATACTACACAACACTCGCTATTTGGGCAGCATTCACTGGCATTGTGTGGTCTGACGGCATATGGAATGTTCAGTGCATGCTGGCTATGTGCGAAGAACCAAGGCTGTAGTGGTCTCCAAGGCAACACAGGTGACTGCTACTAGAAACTTCTCACATTTGTGACATCTTTGATTTCGAATGAATTGTTGGTCATTGCATGTTGAGAAGACTTTTACGGTGGCCAACCCTTCTGTGATCCCCACATTTGGTTCTGAGACTCTGCATTTAAACAGCACAGTTTAAGAGGCTGTGTCTCAGAATACGACAATGTGACTTCTTCCTTGACAAGTGTTCTCTACCCTTTAGCACCATCCACCATCCTGCCCAAGATATAAACCTTGCATCACCCCTGTTGGCTCCCTAACTTCACTCCCTGCTCCCAACAATGACTAAAGGAAATTAAAATCACACCCAAACAGTGGGAGTCCACTCTCTAGGTCCTATGCTACTCACCTTTTCATGTTATGTCAGCCTTCAAGAAATCTAGAATGCACGTACTATGTGTAACCACCTACGTAGATGAGGAATCTGACGTTCTAAGATGTTGTAAATTACCTAAGAACTGCTGGTGAGCAGCGTCTGAGTCAAACTCTCAACAGAGATCTGTCCACATACTCCTCTCCCCATACCCCCTGTTCAGCCCTATCTATCCTGTCTTACTGGCATCCCTCAGAGTGGCCACCTTCCTTCCCCCACAAAAGGAGGCATTGTCCTAGGTCAAGCCCTCCAGCACACACCCTGAAATAACCTATCACCTCCATTTTCACTCCTCAAACTCACCCTCCACAGTACTAGGAGAACTGACTTTGAGGCAGTTTCTGCTTGAGAAGCTTCACTTCTAGGCTGGAGATAAGGTCAGTTGGGAGAGTGTTTTGTCTACCATGCACACACCCAGCTTTGATGCCCAGCACCACATGTACTGGGCACGGTTTCACAAGCCTGAAACCCAAATGGATGCAGGAGGATGACGGCTCAAGCAGTCAGCCGAGGCTACATGAGAACCTGTCTCAAAACAACAACCAATAAAAGCCCCACAGTATCTCCTTGCAAAATAAAGTCCAAATTCTCCACGTGGCCTGGTACCTAAGGAAGGCCTCCTCCTCCTCCTCCTCCTCCTCCTCCTCCTCCTCCTCCTCCTCCTCCTCCTCCTCCGTGTGCCCTTTTATTTCTCACCCCTGGACTCCCTGCTGCTCTCATCACCTGACACTTTGTCTTTTCACGCTCTTATTGTTTCCTCTTGCTGATCCCTCTTCCTGGAACTACCTCCCTCTGAGTTCTCAACTGCTGAGTTCATCGTTCAAGAACTTGCTTCAGGGACCGGGAGATGGTTCAGTGGTTAAATGATTGCCACACAAGCACGAGGACCTGAGTTTGGACTCCCATCACCCACATGAAAACCAAGCGTAGTGGCACCTGTCTCTAACTCTAGCACTAGGGGGATGGAGGGGCAGATCCGGACTGCTTGCTGGCTAGCCAGTCTAACCAAAACAGTGAGCTTCAGGTTCGGTAAGCGTTGGTTGTTTTTATACTCTTTTGGGGGGCCTGCCACTCAGCCCCCAAATAAATCACACAAGGAGGCTTATTCTTAATTATAAATGCCCGGCCTTAGCTTGGCTTGTTTCTTGCCAGCTTTCCTTAACTTAATTTATCCTGTCTACCTTTTGCCTCTGGGCTTTTCTCATTCTCTTACTTCTGAAAATCTTACTCTTACTCCATGGCTTGCTGTGTAACTGGGTGGCTGGCCCCTGGAGTCCTCCTCCTTCTCTGGCTACTTCTTTTTCCTTCCAGATTTCTCCTTCTATATATTCTCTCTCTCTGCCAGCCCTGCCTATCCTTTCTCCTGCCCGTTCAGCTCTTTATTAGACCATCAGGTGTTTTAGACAGGCATAGTAACACAGCTTCACAGAGTTCAACAAATGCAACATAAACAAAAGTAACACACTTTAAAGTAATATTCCCCAACAAGAGTCCCTGTCTCAAAATTAAGGTGAGTAGCAATAGAGAAAAATATTCAAAATAGTCAGAAGACTACTGGCTTCTGACTTCTGGCCCCCTATATGCACACAGACACAACCACAAGCATTCAACTACACACACACACACACACACACACACACACACACACACACACACACACTATTGTATGTGTTGTCAGAGACTAAGGTGAGGAACAAAAAAATTTATAGTTTATCATGGAACATGGTGTATTCATTCATGTTGCTGTAACACAGTCCCAGATGCTGGTTGTTTTGTGTTTGTTTTGTTTTTGTTTTTGTTTTATAAAGAAAAGTTCATTCATGAAGGCTGAAAGTCCAAGGTAGAGTGACTCCATCTATATGGCTCCTGGTAAAGCTACCCTGGCTGCATCACAAAATGGCATGACAGTAGGAGAAAATGCCATGTGCCAACGTGGGGCTAGCTCCATAACAACCTTCTCTAATGAGATCAACAGTAATTCCCTCTGAGGTGCTGCCCCTGTAACAAGACCTTCCACTAGGCACCAACTTTCAAAGGTGCCATCTCCTCTCAACATCACCACACTGACAACCAAACCTTGGGGAAGAGACTCCAATCAACATCACACTCAAATCATGCTCTCTCTTCTACTCCAACTCCCTCTTTTTCTGTAGTCAGAAGTCTCCATCCTCCTCAATTCCTTTTCTAAGATGAAAGGTCATTCATTTGAAATTATTTGAATTTTTGCTGTGAGTTTCTCATGGCCTAGAGTCAACTTCTGGGAGGAAACAGTCCTTAGATGAATATTGAAACTGGCAAGCAAGTTAGGACACAATAGGCCATGGGAACAACATAAGCTGTCTTCTTCTTGGCATGGAAGCAGGAAACAGTATCTTGGATCTTGGCCCGGGGACCCATTAATAGGTAACAGGAGCCCCTAGAGCACCTAGAGCTGGAGGTCTTGTTAGGAGATAAGGCTGCGGGAGAGGTCAGGTTGTGGAGGACTATCATGGCATATAAAAAGGGCTTAAGTAACAGGAACTGCTGATAGCTGCAGGCAAGTAAGATAGGCAGATTTTCAGTATTTTGCTCGATTAGTTTGAGGGTTTTCATTTTATTTACTGCTCTTACCAAAACAGTGATTTACTGTTACATTTTAACATGTACTATCATTTCTAAGCTGGAGATTGGGACAGGGTTCATCCAGACAATTCTGCCTTGGTGTCATTGATTGGGGTCACGTATTCATCTCTAAAAGTTCCAAGACGGGCCTCACTCGAATGCTTAGTCCATAAGCAGGGGCAGCAGCAAGGTGGACATCAGCAGGATCACTTTGATTTCCCCGGTAGTCTTGGCTCTCTCGAAGTGCTCTGCTAAGCTGGTTGGATTTTGTACATGGTGTCTCAGCCCTCCCAGAGGCCACAGTGGAAGCCCCCAGTTCACCCAGGTTCACTTTTCTGTACTTCCTTGATCAGTGCAGACTCAAGCTCAAATTCAAGAAGGGAACTAGTTCTAATTTTACCATAGAGCATTAAGGGACTGAGGCTGTCTCTAGCCCACCCAAGGGTATGGGTATACAAATGAGGAGGAGAGAGCCGTGTTCCTGAAGTATTCAAGCGTGAGTTCTCCCAGAATACTTTTTACCTCCTTGGTTGCAATGGGACATCAATATCATCATTATCTGCTTGTTTATCTATTGCATTACACTTTTTGTCCCTCGAGGAACATATATGTCTTCTCTAGATCTATATCTCAAGCTGGCACATAATTGGTAGTAAATGTTTAGTGAGGAGATGATCTGAACAAACTGGAGTAATTAGTACCCCCTCAATTCCTGGACTTCAGGACCCCAAAATAGCCCACTGCTTGATATAATTTCATTCTCCAGATGCGGATCTTAAGAAAAGTTTGATTGAATGTAAAATCATACTCGTGAACATTTTTTGTGAAGGACCTTCCTTTTTGGAAGACAGAAGGATAAAGAGGAAACGGATACACGTCTACAGTAGTTGAATCCTAAACTGAAAATAAAAAAAAGTCAAAGATGCTCACAAATGGTAGGCCTGATCTTTCCCGAGGATAATGCATTTCTATACTAAGATAAGTATTGGGTACAGTCCAAGGAAAGGGAACATTGTTAGCAACTAGGTTGATAAGGCAAATGTGGCTGAAGATCAAGGGAACTGAAGATATAAGTGAGAGTATAGTTAAAATGGCTGATTAGAAAGTTTCCCATTGCTTAGGAAGATAAGAGCAGGTAGGAAATAACTGGTAAGCTCTGAGAACAAAGTCTGGAGGTCACACTGAGGACAAATTGCAGATTCCGTGGGAGTGAGCACAAAAGGGGGGGGGGTACAGATGTAGGTGGCTAAGGATACTGAGAACGAAACACAGCCCCAAGTTTGGGAGATGGAGTAATTTCATTAAATGACTAGGATGAAGGTGTGGCTTTACCTTTATATTTGCATATAAAATGAAGCCAATGATCATTGGAAAAGGATGAGAAATTGTGAGCTCAGAGCAGTCACTGAATCATCAACACGGAGGCTGAAATCCTTAGATAACAGGGTGTGTGATTAGCTGCAGGACTGACACAGAGTTTCAGAAACATTACGGGGCACAGACAAGGAATCACACTTACAACCTGGTCAGGGCAGACTCAGGTAAACAGAAACAGGTAGAGTGTGTCTTGAACATTTGTCCCCTTCTTCCTTCAGCATGTGTCCTTAGCTGTGTTCACCTACCCCAAACACAGTTGGAGGGCGGGTCATAGGACACTCCTCCGCCCATTCTTCTCCCATCCTTTCTTCCACAAACTAGTGCTTATTATCAATCGTAGTTAGAAACAAGGTGTTACACCTGGAAAAAAAAAGAAAAGTGCACATTGCAATGTTTGACAGGGCTTTCTAATGACAAATTCTTTTTTTTTTTTTTTTTCAAGACAGGGTTTCTCCGTGTAGCTTTGGAGCCTGTCCTGGATCTCACTCTGTAGACCAGGCTGGCTTTGAACTCACAGAGATCCACCTGACTCTACCTCCCGAATACTGGGATTAAAGGCCTGAGCTACCACCACCCAGCTCTAATGACAAATTCTTAACCAGAAAGTGGTTGTTTCAGGATCAACATTCTACAGACAGGTCTGGAAAAATCAAACAGCTTCCACAGAGTGGGTGTTTCCTAGTGTCTTGCAGTCCTGGGAGTTCTATGGCCGAAATTAATCGTTTCTATTTAGGATTGTTTGTCAAGGTTGTTTTTCTCTTGTAATGTGTGTGTGTCCTTTTGAGTTTACGTGCACCGTGTGTATGCAGGTGTCTTTGGAGGTCAGAAGAGGGTACTGAATTCCCTGGAACGGAGCCACCTGATATGGGTTCTGGGAATGGACCCTGGATTCTCTGCAAGAGCATCAAGCGTTTTAACTGCTGAGCCATCTCTCCAGCCCCTTTGCTTAGGATTTTAATTACTCTCACAAAATGTGAGTTCCTTAGTGCCAAGGCCTGAGCTGAGTCAATACTGACAGCCACAAATAAAGTGATAAGGTATACATGTGCGGGGGCAGCATAGACCTTTGTATTCTCCACCAATGGGTCAAGGCAGGTGAGTGTGTTATAAGACACTGACCTCCTTCTACCTATGACCACTCAGAGAAACAGAATTCTAAATAAGTGCTGTAATGCAGAAAGGTCTGTCCGAGAAGCAATGGCACAAGACAGTCAAGGATAACTGACATTTACTAAACATGAAGCATGTGTCAAAACCTTTCTGTATTTCAAACAATTTCATTCTTGCCACTTAGCAGGTAAGAACCTTTATCCTCATTTTGCAGACAAAGAAACTCAAGACTTTCCCAGGGTAGCAGTGCTAGGATTTGCCCTTTGACGGTCTGGAAGCAGAAGTACCACTGAACCGCTCTGCATTTCCCCCAAGCCACTGTTAGCTGGCCCTTTGTAAGAAGAGTTCCAGCTGAGCAATGGCTCCTAGGAGTCTCTCCACCCCTGTCTATCTCCTCACACTCTGAAGGTTAGCAGGCAGGCAGCAGCGGCAGGAGCCGAACACATCTTTAGTTGAAGCATCAACCTCAAGTGTGTCTGGGATTCCTTTACAGTGTCTTTTCAAAGTATCTCACCAACAGCTGAAGGGTCATAATTTAGAGCTTGGGGTTATAGAGATCTGTAGCAGAGAGACAAGGAAAAGGGGGTAGGGAGAGATGTTGCACTTGGATCCATTTTGTTCCAGCCGAATCTTCAACATAACAAAGAACTTTAAAATGACTAATTCATGGGGATTATTTGCTCCTTAAATCATTATTGTAGCCTACCATAATTGTACCATTATTGTAGCTTTTCTTCCAAAAAGCCCTTTGCCTACAGTCCCTCATTTTGAGTCATTTCTTCACTTTTAATCTTTTAAAAACATTTTATTGAGAATTTTAAACAGTATATTTTTACCACATTCTCTGCTGTCCTCCAACTCTTCCCACACACCTGTCCATCCAACCAACTTCCGGTCCTTTCTCTCCTTTGAACAAAACAAAAACAAAAACAAAAAGATGTTGGGGAAGAGAGAATCACTTTTCTTCAGTGGAGTTACACTGATTATATCAACCACACTCTAGGGCAGGCCCCACGCTCAGTTCACCAACACAAATTGGAGTGTTTCTTTACAGCTACACATCCCTTATCTTTTAAGCTTCTCACCTTGCTTAGGGGCGGGGTGTACGCACACACAAATGAGCCTTTTGGTTCATTTTCCAGTCGAGGGGAGGGTGATGAGTTACAATGAAATTGGCTTTTCCGCGGTATTTCTAATCACAGACCAGGAGATGCAAACCACAAAAAACAAGAGTTTCTTGGCAGGTCACCAATTCTGGGACTCACGGATCAATCAATCACACCCAAACTCATTTACTAGCAACAAAAAATAGCACAGTAGCAAGGTTCGTTTACTTAAGCCTAGGACTGGAGCGGTCACCACTGGCGTGTGCAGTCACAGCCACTAAGCCCTGCCCTGTCCCCAGGGAGCTCCCTCGCCTCCGGAGTCCCAAGGGCCTCCGGGCTGTCTCCGGAGGCTCGCGGGCCCACGGGGAAGACCGCCCAGGGAGGCAGCTGAGGCCTGGGCTGCGGTCCAAGACCCCATTACCCTCGGGGAAAATGGAACCTTCCGTCCCGGCCACCCGCGGAGGAGCGGCGGGGAAGCCTTCGATCTCGTCTAGGAGAGGAGACCGGGGCTCAACCACGGGAATCCGGGACGCGGGGAGCCGCGTTACGGGAATCGCGGCGGCGCGCAGTCCCGCCCCTTCGTCTCCGGCGACCCCGGACCAATGGCCGCGCGCTCCGGGACTGACCCAGGCCAATCAGCTCCAGACTCCGCGCCCTAGGGGGCGGGCCCACAAGGGGGCGGGGCTAGGAGAGCCTTGGTCGGCGGCGGGCAGAGGGCGGCGTGTGCCGTCGAGAGTTTCGAGCCAGCCGGGCTGCGGCTCCGCTGAGGGGCCGGCGGGCGGAGTGGGCCCGGATCCGGGAGGCTTGAGGGGACGCGCCGGGGCGGCGAGGCTCGCGGCCTGAGGTGAGGAGGGCAGGGCCCCGGCGCGGGAGGGTGCGGGCTGCCTGGCGCCGCCGCCGCCGCCGCCGCCGCCACCTGGCAGCCGGGGCCCAGCGGGGCCGGGCTGGAGCGGCTCGGCGCACGCCCGGAGCTGGTCAGGCCGGCTTGGGAATCCCCGCATTCCTTCCTTCCCCGCTCCCGGCTCCCACTTCCCGGGCCTCGTCACTCGTCTCCTCCAGCCGGGTTCCTGACGCACAGTTCCGGAACCCCCGCCCCAAAGTTCCCTGGGGATCGCGCGTCCTGGATGACCGCGTCCCGCGTCCTCCCAGCTCCGGTGCCTCGTCCCCTGAACCAGCCAGCGGTAGACATGGCCCCAGAAAGTCTAGTCTTCGGTGTCCCCTTAAATAACACCCGCCCCAGACTTGACTCTTCACTCCCTGCTCTGGATTTCTCTTACCCAGAGCGAACTTTTCACCCGCAAATCGCAACGTTTTGGCATTGATGACAAGTTCAGTGATTATAAATATTAACGCTCCCTCTGGTCCCTTCCTAGTAAATCCCGCGTGCCTTTACATCCGGAGCGCAATCCCATCTGTCTTTATACATTTTCACCTCTTCTCCTAAGCGTTAACTTTTCCAAGTAGCAGCGGGTTCTCTTCTTTCCTGGATGAACGACGTTTTAATTCAGAACTCCAAACAGAAATAACATCGAAGGCTGGGCCCTCTGCTCCTTTTATTGTTGTTGTTGTTGTTGTTGTTTCTATCAAAAGGAAGCTCATTTGGGCTTAATTTGTATGGTTATGGGATGTTCCAGCAGCTGTGCTGCTTCAAAGTGGACAGTTGATACTGGAATGTCAGGGTAAGTCCTGAAAGCTTAAGCTGTTTGGTCTGGTGAGTGGTGTAAACAAACGCTTTCATACCATGTGTGACTGCCAGCTTCCAGTTGGAACATCTCTTAATTTGAACTTACTGACTCATTATCGGAGGGGATGATCGCCATCGCCTTAATCTCCCAAGTTCATGTTCATATTTGACATTTCGAATTATTTTTGAACCCTAAACTGGAGTGCTATATTTATAGGACTGATCTGATAGTAGATTTCATTGTGTTTTCCACAGGTTACTTTTGGGGAATAATTGTGCCCATTTGCTTCTACTCACAAGTGAAAGAAAAAAAAAATTGCAAGGGGGTAATGTAAGATAAGCATAAACTTTATGGTAGAATTTTTTTTCACTCTTCTCATCTGTATTGTTGACACAGTTATTTAAAATATTACAAATACTGCTACCTGCTAATTTAATGCAGCATTCTTATGTAACTGGACATTTTGTTCTATTTTATTTATGACTTTGTGTTTTCACTTAAAAATATTTTTCCTAAGAGAATGTGATGTTTTGGTTAAATACTAGGATGAATGCTGATTATTATATACCTATGAAGTAGTTGTTATAATATCTCCTTTTTAGAAATGGAAACAGGCTGAAAAAAATGTATGACTCCCAGTCCTGTGCTCACAGACTGTCCTATTGGCAGATTTCTTACAGAAAATTCATTAGTATAATTCGATCTGGGAAGTTGTGTGTTGCCCACAGCACTGCAGTAGCAGGAAGGGTTTTTCCCTAGACGTGATTTCAGACCTCATTTTGCTGCAGATCACCTGGCCCTGATATATTTGCAGCTTGTCTGCTAAAGAACCATGGAAGTTCTCACAGTTTTCTCCTTGTTTTTGGTTGTAAAAGTGGTTTGATTGCAGGTGAGATTTCCTTTGAGATTATTTTACTAAGCACTCAGCCTGCTGTGGAATTAATAAAGATGCCTGAGATAGTGTCTAGGTTCCTGAAAGTTTACAAAATTGGGCTGACAAACCGGTGTGTAAAAAATTACCCAGATGCAGAGCAGTTTCAATTAAATAATGAGTGATGTAGAAAGTGCTGTGGGTCTTTAAGTATTGGAATTGAAATAGTCAGTGTGTTTCCTAGAGGTCAGCCTTGAGATCTGGATAAAGGGGAAATTAGAGAGATCCTGTTCTAAATATAGAATGGAGGGCAGAATGGAGACTAGAACTTCGTCAAGGACTGCCATGTGCTGTTACCACAGTATATTCAGTTTAATAACCAGTAACTTACGCAGTTTTGTATGTCAGTCTCTGAACATAGCCTTATTGAAGTAGGTCCATTACCCTCTTCTACACAAAGGCAAACCCCCAAACACAGACATTATCGTCAGATTCTACATGTATGCTTAGATACCCTGAGTTCAGGCTGAACTTTTATCTGTAATACGTGTTACTTTTTCATATTGTCTACATGAGAACAGAGTAAAATAGTTATACCAGTTCTTTTAAAACTCATTATTAGGCTGGGAATGTAGCCAATAGTAGAGTGCTTTCCTACCATGTGCCAGCCCTGGGGTCAATCTTCAGCACTACATACTACATACATTCTCCATCAGTACCACTTATATATGTGCATACATATGTAAACTAAGCATTCTTTTAGCTGTTCACCAAACGCTCCAAGATTCTCAGCATATGAAGTTGTGTAATTACTGTGCTACATTTTGTATCCTTTTAGGGAACTCTGAAAGTGCAGTGGAAACAGATGTTTGTGAATGTGGGGGAAATTCCACAGAAGAGATGTTCATTTGGGTTATAAACAACGGAACAAGGCAGAGTCAGCAGGGCACTGGCATTATAGAGTCAAACTGTAGTGTGTGTACAAGCACACGTTCAAGAAGGTGTTTAGAGGAAGTTAGAAGTTTGTTGTAACTGGAGCTTACCATCTAGGTGTGGCTCACATGGAAATGATGAAAATTAGGACCAGTTTGCTGAGGCCACAGAAAACCGAGGAGCTTAAATATTTACTTTGCAGTTGGAAAACTAAAAGAATAATTTCAGCATAATTGGAGTAAAAAGCCAGATTGTTCGTAATTCTCTCTGGGATTATAGCACAGTAGTTCATGAGAAGGACTCTAAGGAAAGGGTTTTATTTATGTAATGGGCTGGGGGGTTGAACCAGGACCTTTCCCCATTGGAAGCAAGTGCTCTACCATGGACTGTACCCCAGCCTCCTCCATTACTGTTAGTTTAAAATAGAACTGAACATTGGCGGTCAGTTGGACAGTGCAGGTGGATGAAGCGGTTCCTAGGTTCTCTGATAGACGAAGTATTGGAAGTGCCATGATCGGAGTGGGAGGGGTTCGTGGTAGAGGAGTGGCTGGGAGCCATTCTAAGTGCTGGGGTCAGGTCCAGGTCCAGTCATCCATAGAGAGAGGCCGGTGAGAAGGTCGTGAAAGAAGCCTGGTAAGATGAGTAACTGACAAGTCAAATTTTAAGGGTTGATCAGAACAGAAGGCTTTACTGACTGGAGCAACTGAAAACCATGAGTTGTTTATAGGTGTGTGTGTGTGGGGGGGGGGGTAAAGTTTCTATGATTAAAAATATTGGATTGTGTTTGTAGGTACTTTTAAGTGGGGAGATTTATTAAATTGACCTGCATCAGATGCAGGATATCTAAGATGATACATAACTAGAATTGATGATTCAAGCCAGAATTCTTGAAATTTGGTTTGAAGGTAAGGTACTAGTTGAAGTTACATGTCTTCAAAGTAAATATTTTAAAAGAAAAGTAGATCCTGAGTACTTCATCTTTGGGTACATTCATGGCCAGCAGATAAAAGCTAGCCAAGAATACCAAAAAGTGGACAAAGGAAAGAACCAACCGTATGGTTGCATTTTAAACCAGGAGCTTAATGAGGAACTTGACAAGCAGGGTGGTAAATGGAGACTCAGGAACACTTGTGACAGGGCCACCAGGACTTCACTCTGTGGCTGGCTCGTCAGAGGGATTCTGTGAGTTTCTCCGCTCCCGAATCAGAGAGCTGTATCTGTTAGTGTACGCTGAGACTAGATTGATGCTTTAAAGCTGCCTGTACTCATATCCAGAGCAAGAGCTTAATTCCTTTCAGTAGAACATAACTGTCTTGCCTCTGGAATTTCATATTCCCTTTAATAGTCACTTTCATCCTTTGCTTTAAGGAAGAGTGGGCTAATTATTATAAATAGTGGGTTCATACTGCTTCTCCTGCAGAGTCCATCTTGTTTGGATGTTCTGTCTTATGTACATCCCCTGCCACTGCACCCCCTAGTGCAAGCTGAGCTCATCAGAGCTGTTATTGCAGATAGCCCAGTGCTGGCTGGTAGACCTTCCCATTGGCGGTCTTCAGCCAAACATACAGTTTTCTTGTTCACGAAACTCTGACTTTATTTTATAGCTGAGTGCCCCTGAGCCCTGAGTAGGATATTACCTGTTCCCAAAGCACTTTGCATTTATTTTACCTGTTAGCTTTGAGCTTCCTGTAGCCGAGAACTGTTTGGCATCAATTGTATTTGCAATGTTTTATGTCTTAAGTGATGGTGAGAACATAGGTTTTTATCAGAGTACTCATGAAACCGAAATAGATAATATATTAACTCGGAATATGCTTGTATAATAAAAATATCTTTTGTATTTTTCTTTATAGGACCAGTTGTCCCAAAAAATATCTTTGAATAATATGAGATGCCATAACAGATTTTTTTTTTTGCATGCTCTCCCAGGCTAGCTGCCAAGTCTTAGGTTCAATTGATTTTTCTTCCTCAGCACCCCACCCCCAACCTCTGAGACTTACAGGTGTGTGCATGCCCGGCTTATACATTCTTTACGATTTATCTGAGGGTTTTTGTTTGTTTTGTGGTACTAGGGATCAAAACAAAGTCATACACTTGAAGACATGCTGTGTACCACTAAGCTACATCCCAATTCTAAAAGCAATTATATATTCTTGAGTTTCTTTTCTTTATGCTGTTGACTTGTCTGGTGTCTGTGCCCATGTGTGTTTTATTCTTTGTGGCAGGTCTGAATGAGGGTACATCAAATCCTCTTTTTGTTGTTTGAAAATTGGCCCTTAGTGTCTCATTTTTAATGTGAAATTTTAATTGAGATATAAAGTTCTATAATGAACCACTTTGCTATTTGGGTTAAAATTGTGTTGCATTTTTATCTTGTGAAATCCTTTTTAGCTCTGACTAGATTTTTCCTATTCTAGTGTTGCTTTTGGGGCTATTATGAGTGGTAGTTTTTTTCTATTGTATTTCTTAGTTGGTTATTACTGATGTTCAGAAGTACTACTTTTTAAATAATCATTTCTTTAAACACTACATTAAATGTCTAGGAGTCCTGCTAGTTTAACATTTTGTTTTTGTTTGACACTGTAGCAGCTACATATTTCAAAACCGGTAAACTACTTGTCACAACAGTGAAAAGGTTGCATGAGAATAAGCAAATAGATGGGAACAGGCAGACTACAGCCCACCTCTTGGTTTTTGTTGTTGGTGGTTTTATAAAGTATGGTAAGAACATAATGCATGCACACACTAAAAACAAAAAGCGTTTTAAGAAGTTTTATAAAACGACAGGCCACAGACTGCAGAACAGTTATGTACAAATCAAATTTCTGACAAAGGCCTTATATACAAAATATACATTCAAACTGTCAAACCTAATAATAATGAAACAAGTCTAATTAAAAATTAGCCGAATATTCAAATGGTCATACCATCCAGAAAGCTCTATAACTAAACATAACACCTACCACATTCTACCCCTAGTATTCACTTCTCAAAATTACAGCATGTGTACACACACAGACTCAACACTAGTTAAGTATTGTAGTCAGGTGGTGGCGCACACCTTTAATCCCGGCTCTCAGGAGGTGGAGGCAGGAGGATCTCTGTGAGTTCTAGGCCAGCTTGGTCCACAGAGTGAGTTCTAGGACAGCCAGGGCTACATAAAGAAACTCACTCTTGAAAACAACAACAAAAACAAAAAAGTTGCAGTATTACATGTTATGTACACATTTGAATGTTGTGTCTTTAATAACTGTATCATATACAAAATATAGTTCTGAATTGTAGAGATATGTCAAGAACACAGACAGAAAGCTATCTCCTTTGCTTACAATCTGTTTGGGTAATACACATAATGTGTTCATTTCTTAGGACTAATGTAACAAAGTGCCATGAATCAGGTGGTTTAAAATTACAGAAACGATGCCAGGCAGTGGTGGCACACACCTTTAGTCCCAGCACTTGGGAGGCAGAGCAGGTGGATTTTTGAGTTCAAGGCCGCCCTGGCCTACAGAGTGAGTTCCGGGACAGCCAGGGCTACACAGAAAGCCTGTCTTGAAAAAACAAATAAATAAATAAAACTGTGGAAATATTATTTTCTGCAGAAGTCCTTCTAAGATTGGAAAGAATCCTTGGGCTCTTCCTAGCCTCCCGTAGTAATGTGTTGACATTTTTTTAGCTTGTAGCTCTAGTCACTCCAGGCTCTTGCCTTCTGTCATCGGGCACTTTTCTGTGTCTCTGTTAGAAGAGCCATATTCTAATGTCTTACCTACTCCTGCTGGTGTTTTTTTTTTTTTTTTTTTTTTAAACTCTTTACTCTTTTGGCTCTTTGGGGGGCCCGCCACCTAACTCCCAAATAAATCACACGGAGTCTTATTCTTTCTTATGAATGCCTGGCTTTAGCTTGGCTTATTTCTAGCCAGCTTTTCTTAACTTAACCTGTCAACCTTTTGCCTCTGGACTTTTACCTTTTTCTATTTCTGTGTATCTTTTCTTTGCTTCTTTCTCCACGTCTGGCTGTGTAACTAGTTGGCCCTTCTTTTCTTGCTCCTCGATCTCTTCTTCGCAGATTCCTCCTCCTAGTTATTCTCTCTGCCTGCCAGCCCTGCCTGTCCTTCCTCCTGCCTAGCTATTGGCCATTCAGTTCTTTATTAGGCCAATTAGGTTTTTTAGACAGGCAAAGTAACACAGCTTCACAGAGTTAAACAAATGCAACATGAAAGAATGCAACACATCTTTGCATCATTAAACAAATGTTCCACAGCATATGCAAATCTTGAAATAATATTCTACAGCATACTCCACTAGGGCTTCTCTGCTAACTACCCCAGCAATGGTTCTATTTCCAAAGAGGCTCCTATTTTGAGGTTCCAGGAGTTAGGACTTGAGTGCATCTTTTGTAGGGGACACAGTTCAACCTTGAAGAAACAGTAAGCAAAATAAGAAAATTATATGGCATTTTCAAATAAGGCCCCACAAACAGTGGCCTGCAGACCAAATCTGGCTTGCAGTCTTTTTGTAAGGAAAGTCTAAACATTTATCTGGTTCATTACATAAGATATTTGCCAATCTGTTACAGATGTCTCAAGTGTTCTGAAGGAGAAAACAAAAAGCAGGAGAGCAGGGTGGTAGAAGCAGTTCCCAGAGGCCAAGAAAGACCTGGGAAGGAGGGAGACAAAGGCTGCAAAACTTAACCTCTGTGGTGCCCGTAGAGCCCCAGTCTGTAGTGTTACATGAGGAAGGAAGCGACAGCACGCACCGCACGGTGAACCTGGCTTTCTAACGTAAGAAATACGTACTTACTTACACAGTATGGAGCCGTAGGTGGAGAATTTTCCAGACTACCAGCAGCATTTTCACTAGCTATTTTTCTTGGTAAAATTATAGACTTTACATGCCTGCATCCCCCCCCCATTTTTCATTTGAAATTTTTAAAATGTTACAAACTTAATTCCTTGTTACTGTGTCATATCAAAGATGTAACACGTGGCAGGATTCATTTCTTTGCCTGAGTCTCAAGTTGTTTCAAAAAATAGCTGCCATTGCTCAACTGAATCTAGTACCGGTCATGGTTGGACAGTTGAGGAGTCAGCAATTTGAACTCAGGACCACTAGAGAACAAAAGATATCAGCCTTCTACTAAGGACCTCTTATTGTCCTATCAACAAAATGCCCTTGTGACATTGCACAGACATCAAGGAGGTTGAATTAGGTGTAGGTGACTTTAATAGTTAGGTATTAAACCAGCGGTTCTCAACCTTCCTAATGCTGTAAACCTTTAGTACAGTTCATGTTGTGGTGACCCCAACCATAAAATTATTTTCATTGCTACTTCATAACTAATTTTGCTACTGTTATGGACCGTAATATAAATGTCTGTGTTTTGTGATGGTCTTAGGCAACCCCCATAAAAACGTCATTTGACCCAAAGGGGTCACAACCCCACAGGTTCAGAACCACTATTAAACATAACTCTGGGCCCTATTGATCCCAAAAGCTTGAGGCAGGAAGATTACTTGAATTCAGTAGTTAATGGCCAGCTAGGACAACATAGCAGAACCTTCTCTCAAAGGGGAAAAAAAGACATAGTAATAACCACTGGATTATTGAGTACTCTCACCCAAGTATTTGTGGGATTCTTTTATTTTGAAGTTCTTTGACATGTGCTACTTGGGACAAACCCGAAAACGTTATACCAGGGAGGATTTAAAGAACATGTGTACAGGTGGATCCAGGAGTTAGAGGAGGAGTAGGGGGGAAGATGAACAAAATACATTGTATGCGTGTATGACGTTCTCAAAGATCCTAGTAAGAAGCACGCGTCCAACACTTACCAAAGCCAGTGTTCTGAACAAGGCTCTCTGTCTTCACAGGGAGACCAAGAGAAGGAACATGACATTTGGTGCTGGTGGACTTGCTTCAGATTCATGCCTTTTCATTTGCTAATTTTTTGAGTTGGGTAAGTAATTGTCTTGTCTGAATTTTTGTTTTTCTTTTGTAAAAGTCCAATAAACAATCCCTGCCCTACCCGGCTGCCTCCCAGGGGTAGGGATAGAAATGACTAGTATGAAAGCATTATGTGTAACAAAACAGTCCAGTGTGTTAGCATGAACTGGAAAGGAGTAAAGAGTGGACGATTGTAAAAATCATGTAGCTCAATTTAATGTCATTATGGCCAGTGTCTTACAGATGGATTATAATAAGACATTCTGTAAATGTCACCCTGATCCCTACCCAACTCATCAGTGAACACAATTTGCTTTATTTCTGCCAGCCAGCCTTCATGTAAGGTTCTGCAGTTGTAACAGTTACCTTGCCGTAGTAACAGTTTACACTGATAGCTTTCTCAGTGAATGCAGTCCTTATTCATTGTTCATTCTTGGGTTAGATTTTATAAAAGGGAAGTAAACATAAAAGTCACAGTGTAGGCAATAAAAATATTTAGAGTGCACAGTTGTTAAGGTTCATCAGTTATAATTACACCGCTTTTTCCACTTGAGAAAATCCATGGACTGAAAGAGCGAGCGGTGATGTAGTTACTGCATATCTGTTCTAAGTTCCCAAGCAAGCCATTCACAATCTGTGTGAGGAGCATTACTGGAGGAAGTCACTGGTGACACACCTTTCAGCACACCACTGTTGGCTCGCCAGAGTTGAGGAATTACCAATATAGAAGAGTCTCTCCATTCCGAAATAAACTGTCAATGCAAGCATCTGCAGTTACGAGTCATGTTTTCGCTTTGTAAAAGCTTCCTAGAAAGCTTTTACAAATTCAAGGAAGTCATCGTATACAGTATTTCTGCAATATGTGCATATTCTGCAAGAGCTGTGGAATAAGAGGAGCATTTAATACACTTGTTTTGTTTTGTTGAGACAGGGTTTCTCTGTGTAGCTTTGTGCCTTTCCTGGAACTCACTCTGTAGCCCAGGCTGACGTCGAACTCAGAGGTCTGTCTGCTTCTGCCTCCCGAGTGCTGGGATTAAAGGCGTGCTGGCTGTTTAATACACTTTTAATTTGAATGTTTACTCTCAACAGAATCAAAAGAATGTAGCAGAATACTGTCCATTTTAAAACAAAATAAGCCCCAAGAGAAGTTAGTTGTATAGGATATCACACAGAATACATTCGTACTTTGATGTCAGGCACTTTCATAGACGCTCTTTCCTCACATCTCAGTGACAGTTTTAAAAATTAGGAAGTAATACTTCTAGTCATTACAGTGAAAGGCTTTCCCATTTCCTCATGACACTGCTCAGTCACAAGCCTACCCCGCTCTAGTTCTGTATTGCATGTGAGGGTTAACCATGCTGTGCACACTTGTACATTCTTCTTGCCAATTGCCATGGCTCAGTTACTTGACTGCCAGTTTGTCTGGTTGCTTCTCATCAACTTTTGGGTGTGGTTTGATTTTCTTGTTGCTGGGGACTGAACCTATGTCCAGTGTATACTGAGAACCTGATCTGTGGAGCTGCACCTGCCTTGGGCATCCTATGTGTATACCCTTTGGAAGACATTAGCACATGTTTCTTTCAGTGTATGTATACCTTGTCTGTATAGTGTTGTTTGGTTACAATTAAAATTCAATGTATAAACTAAAAAGAAAAGTGGGTCATGATTTTTGCATACTATATGTCTTAGTTGCAAAAGCCCTGACTGCCCCACCCTTACTATCATTTGAAGGATGTTGAAATACTGTTTCACTTAGGAAGGCTTGCTTGCAGTTTTAAAACATAGCTGTAATGGCCCCCTCTAGAGTAAAAGGCCAGAATGCTTCCTGCTCACTTTGAGGTGTGGATTCCTAAGCCAGATCTTTGTGTGCTGTAAGATAACTTGCTCTCTGTGGGTGTCACCTGACTTCACAGCACCCTGTGAAATGAGCTGGTAGTTAGCAAAAGAAGCTATGGATAGTTTGGCGCTGCTGTTACGCATCATATTTTTTGTTTCTAACTCAGAGGGCTTACAATGAATTGCTGATATTCATGTAACTGCAGCAAGCAAATGTATCAGCTTCTAAGTAGAGTAGTCTCAGACCAGAGCCTTGTTATATTGGCACAATGCAGTGAATCTTCGCAAATACCTATAGTCTTTATAAAGTCACCACCCAAATCAAGTTATTGAATATTTTCATCACCCCAGCAGACTCCGTCATTCCCCCCCTCTATCTCACCCTAGGACTCCCTGATCTGCTCTGCATCATCTTAGTTTGCTTATGCACCCTGTGGTGGCTGGTATCTTTATTCCACTCACTTCTGGGGGGGATTTTCCCCTTGTGCTTGATATGTCATTAGTTTGTTCCCATTTACTGCTGTGTATACTCTTTGTTTTGTAGATATACCCTGAGCTGATTTTCTTTATCCATTCACCAATTGATAGACATTTGGGTTGTTTCCAGTTTGAGATTTTTCTGAATAGATTTGCTATAAACATTTGAGTATGTCTGTGTGTGGACATACGTTGTTCTTATTTTCCTTAGGTATGTTGTTAGGTGTGTAATGCCAGAATGCTTTTTAACTTGCTAAAGCCTTGCCTGCCCTGCCATTTTCCAGAGTGTATCATTTTTCATTCCTATCTTCTTTTTATTTTGCATCTCATTGTGAGTAGTTTAAAATTGTCTTTTTGCATATTTTAGTTACATGAATTTCTTTCTCTATAAACTGCCTACTCAAAAAGTTTTGCTTGTTTTTCTATGAGGTGTTAGAATCTTTTAGTACTTTGTGGGCATCCTCCTCCTATCAGGGACTATTTGTGGTCACACTGAGCTAAATTTCCCATTGTCTAGTCCCTTTGGAGGTTCTTTAGAGGGGACTTTACCATTTCTGAAGTCCTCCATCTCACAGCTACTTACTTGTGTGTATGATTTCACATCATTTAAAAAAAAAACAAAAAAAACAGGATTGGGGCTAGAGAGATGGCTCAGAGGTTAAAACTGATCTTTCAGAGTCCCTGTGTTCAATCCCCAGCAACCCCACGGTGGCTCACAACCATCTATTATGAGATCTGCTGCCCTCTTCTGGCCTGCAGGCATACATGCAGACAAAAAACAAAAAAAAACCCCAGGATTGGTCCTTAACCATTGATGTCATCTAGTGGTTTTGTGCAGCCGTCGTAACTTTAGTGGACGGAGAAAAATATTCCCTTTCTGCATTCACATAAGTATTTTTCCACCTTTCAAGAAATAGCTGCACAGTAGAAATAAGCCTGTGTCTTAGCTTGTGTGTAAGAGAACAGGTTTTTAAATTGCACATTGTGTCTGTTACAGGAGCATCCCTGAAGATGTCAACACTGAGGATTTGGCTAACACAAGCTTTGCTTATTTTTTTCACCACTGAATCTATAGGTAAGGTTCATGAAATGTCTCAACTCTACAAATTCGGCTTATATGTTTTATATACTGTATAATTAGGCTCATGTTTAATAGTTTTATAATTATGCTTATATAGTCTTTCTTGGTTATTATTGAAAGAAATTTCTTTAGTACAAATAAGCCTGATAATTTGTTTTATATCATTTATTTGAGTTTTATAAATACTAAATGCTAGTTAGCTAGTTTGGAACAGATTGAAGGACAAAAACTGTGTGGTCACCTTAGTAGATGCATTCTGATAAATACCATGTAAAACCGTTCATAACCTAAAATAATAAATTAAGTATAGGAAGAACATTTCAGCATAATAAAAGTTTTACACACACACACACACACACACACACACACACACACACACACACACCCCACATACACATCTGAAGTTCACAGCTAATGTGCTGAATGGAGAGAAGCTGAAAGCTTTTTCTCCAAGATCCTGATACCGATAGAGGTTATTTCCGCTACCTTTATTTCTAACCACCTCTAAATCTATTAAATACCATATTTGAAGACCTAGCCAGAGCAATCAATCAGGCAAAGAAATAAAAAAGGCATCATGGTTGGAAAAGAGGATGTCAGATTGTCTCATGTAGATGACATGGTCTTATATACAAGAAACCCCAAAGAGTCTACAAAAAGACGGAACTAATCAATGAATTCAGAAAAGTTGCTGATTAAAAAATAAACATGCATAGGTCAACAGCATTTCCATATGCTAATAGTAAAGTATCTGAAAAGGCAATCTTATTAACAATGGCCCCCAAAATAAATGTAAGTAAATTTAGTCAGAGCTGAAATATAAATTATAAAACCTAATGCAAGAAGTTTTGGAAAGGACACAGAAACATGGAAAGACAATACATATGCATGAACTAAAAGATTTGAAGTTGTTAAAATTTCTGTACTTTTCAAAGCAGTCTACAGAATTAGAAAAAAATAATTCCTAAATTGCGTGTGGAACCACAAAACACCCAAATACCCAAAATAGTCTTGAGCTGTAGGCAGATTTTTCTGTTCCGCCAGCCCACTCCCAAATGACCACATAGAGACTTAATATTGATTATGAATGCTCAGCCAATAGCTTAAGCTTGTTTTTAGCTAGCTCTTATAACTTATTAAATTAACCCACACTTATTAATCTATGTGCTGCTCCAAGGATCATTTACCTCATCTACGTATTTCCCATCTTGCTCGATATGCATCTTGTGGTGTCTCTGTGTGACTCTGCCCTTCCTCTTCCCATCATTCTCTCTGCCCTGAAAATCCTGCTAGCTAATGCCCATTCAGCTTTTTTTTAAACCAATCCAAGTGACAAATCTTCACAGTATACAAAAAGATTATTCCATACATTGAACAAAATAAACAAAAATGGAGACATTATACCAACTGACTTCAAAATATTTTACAAAGCTACAATAATTAAAGCAGCATGGTGTGGGCATGAAAACAGAGCAGCAGAAAAGACAAGAGAGCATAGAAGTAAATCATTATGTATAGCCACCAATCTTTGACAAGGGCGCTAAGATATTATTAAAGTACAGTCTCTTCAGATCAAGATGTGGGGTAATTGGATACCCAGTTTTTCTCTTTTTGTCAACAGTTTGAGACTCAGAACAGATTAGAGGCTTATTTATTTACTTATTTTTGAGACACAATCTCATTGTGTAGCTCTGGCCACCCCGGAACTCCTTATGTAGACAAGGTTGGCACTGACCTCACAGAAATCTGCCTCTGCCTCCCAAGTGCTGGGATTAAAGGTGTGCACACCACCACCAACTGGATTGAAGGCTTTAATACAAGACCTGAAACTATGAAATCACTAGAAGAAAATACGGGGGAATGCTTTAGGATACTGGAACAGGTGAGGAGTGTCTCACTAGGATCCCAAACCATAGGAATACAACAAGAGTAGATGAATTAGAGTGTGTCACACTTAGCTTCTGTGTGGCAAAGAAAATCAACCAAGTAAAAAGACACTCGCCAAATAAGGGAATATTCCAAATCATACACCTGATAAGGGATTAATACTGATTATGCAAGGAATGTAAACTCAGTAGAAAAATATAAATAATTTTTAAAGGGGTAGGAGACCTAGGTAGACATTTCTCAAGATAAGACATGCAAGTGACTAATAATTCCATGAAAACATACTCAGCACTAATCATCAGGGAAGTGCCAACCAAAGTCATAGTGAGGAATGACCTGCTTCCTGTTAGGTAGACTGTTAGCACAAAACCTAAGATATGTGCTGGCAGGACTATAGAGAAAAGGAAACCAAACATAGTACTGATGGGATGTTATATTAGTACAGCTATTTTCAAAACTAATACAGAGGCTCTTAAAGAAAAGGCAGTTCCACTAGCAGATTGTGATAGTTATTTTTCTCATTGTCAGGATAAAATACTTTTGAACAACTTCAGGAAGGTAGGACTTGAGTGGACAGTCCCCTCAGGCTGGGGAAAGCCTGGTGACAGTAGTTTGGTATATCAGGGTTACATTGTGGCATGCACTTAGGAAACAGAGATAAATGTTAGTATGTAGCTTGCTTTCTCCTTTTATTCACTCCAGGACCCCAGCCCATGCAATGGTGCCACCTACATTTAGAGTGTGTCTTCCTATCTCAGTTAACCCAGTATAAAAACCCCTCATGGACATGCCTAGAAGTTTATCTCCTAGGCAAGTCTGAATCCTGTCAAATTGACAATTGATGTATACCACATATGATCCTGCATTGTCGCTATTAGGTAAATAATAGAAAAGAAATTAAATCAGTATGTCAAATTAGAGCTGCATTCCTATTTTTATTACAGCAAGAACTATGTAAGTGGATAATGGAATGTGTGTGTTCATAATGGAATACTATTCCATCTTAAAAAATAGCGAAGTTCTGTCATTTGGGACAACATAAATAGAACTGAAGACACGTTAAGTGAAATAAGCCAGACACTGAAAGATAAATACCACATGATCTCACTTGTGAAATCTAAAAAAGTCGATCTCATAAAAAGTTGAGTAGAATGGTAGTTACTAGGGGGAGGGAAAGGTTGCTCACTGGTACTAAGTTATATTAAATACAAGAAATAAGCTTTGGGGTTCTTTTGTATGGCAAAGTAACTATAATAGTGGTAGCATCCTGTGCATTCCCAAACAATTCCAACTGCAAAGACACGTGTCTCTAGCAGGATATTGAAAGCAGATGAAATGAGAGGTAGACCTGTCACTGTCATCTGCAGTGGGGGTGAGACACTTAACTGTATAATTGGCTTGTGGGTTTTGATCCTATCTAATTTCTTTTCCTCCTTCTTTAAATAGAAATGTTTATTCCCCGCATTGATGGATAAAATACATTTATTGCTAAAACTAGTCCAATTGTTTTCTCAGAAAATCCTATCCTCTACACTTTGTTAAAACACACATATTTGCCCATATTTTCTAGTCTTTCTTGTTTGGGTTGCTGTCTCACTACAGTTTGAATTTTGATATATGGACAGTATGTCCATCCTTCTCTTCCTGTGGCCTCGCCTCCACCAGCAGCATTCAGGGCTGGAGAAGACAACCCACCTGTTTTCTGGAATTTAGTTAGGCTGTCTGAGTCAAGGGGGTGCATGAGGGATGGGCAGCTTTGAGATATACTAGAAGCAGTCTGTTTCTAAGGAAAATCAGAATATTAGACCATGGGCTCAGTAATTTTTACTTTTGTACAATATAATTTGTGTATTTCTTTACAAATTTAGGTTTTAATTCAGACCACAATGTTTTCAGTCTTACATTTCCTTCAGAATTACTATAATGAATTTGTGGGGTCCACATTGAGTGCTGCTATCCAGATACCCTTTTGTACTGGAGATATCCAGTCTTTGTTTCTTTGTCTTATTCCTGTCACAGTGCCAGGCATCAAACCCAAGGCATCACATGTGCTAGGCAAGCTCAGGCCACTTAGCACAGTCTGTTGTTCTTTTTCAGGTCAAATTGTGGAACCATGTGGTTATATCTACCCCGAGTTTCCGGTTGTACAGCGTGGCTCTAACCTCACTGCCATTTGTGTGCTAAAGGAAAAGTGTCTCCAGCAGTACGACGTGAATGCTAGTTTCATCGTATGGAAGACAAACCATGTTGCTGTTCCCAAGGAGCAGGTCACCGTCATCAACAGAACCACGTCTAGTGTCACCTTCACAGACATGATCCTCCCGACGGTCCAGCTCATCTGCAATGTCTTGTCATTTGGGCAGATCGAACAGAACGTGTACGGAACCACCGTACTTTCAGGCTGTAAGAGCTGAGTCTTCTTTTCAGCTTCACCAGACTCTTGAACTACATTTGTAATGGTTTCTGTTAGCCTTCCCAAGGACAGTCACTTGGTTCAGTAGCTTTTGGATATACTTACTTTATCAAAATGTTTAGAAATACTGTGTACATTTTCACTGTTATACACAAATCCAGGAGTAACATGGTTGCCATTTCTTTGCTAAAAGACAAACATTCGTCATGCTCTTGAAGAATGCCTTGACCAGAGACTCTTGCGTATCCCCGAGAGTATTACTGATTTGCAGACCTTCTGCTGATGGCAGCTTTCTGTGTCTCCTCATTACTGAGAAAGGCTCAAGTTAAACAGGCCCCTGCATGGAGAAAATGGAGAAACCTTGAAACACAGAGGCCATGGGTTTGAAGAGAGCAGGGAGGGGTATAGGAGAGGGCTTCGAGGGGGGAAAGGGAAGGGGAAATGATGGAATTATAATCTTAAAAATATTATTAAAAAGAGTAGAACCAGTGATCCAGACCGATGAGGGTTAGCCGGGAGTTACAGTTTCAGCATTTACCTTACTTTCACCCCGTGTCAAAGCAGGAAGGACAAAACTTCAGCAGCCTCGTGTGCTGGTGAGGCCAGAAATGCCAGCTCCTGGCACATGGAACAAGAGGATTGAGAGTTTGAGGCCAGCCTGAGCTACATAGTAGGAGCTTGTCCTGAAATAGAAAAGTAAAATAAAGTATATGTGAATCATTTTTGCTCCTATAACTGCCTTTTAATATTTATTAGTTATTATTAGTTTTAGAACACTTAATGGAGACATTACTGGTAATTTATCTGGTTATAAATAAAAATTTATTTTTATATAGAAAACTAATATGAAAGCAATAAATTAATGACAGTTACACTTGAAAATATATATATGACCTAAGAAGTATTTAAGAGTTTGAAGAAAAAGATACTAACATCTGTTTCTCGTTATGCCCATATCTTTATCTTGGGTTTGTTTATCTAATTGAGGTGGGTCTTAGGTGTTATATGAGTTGGATAATATTTGTGTATGTATGCTTATTTCCTTTTAGTTCCCCCAGATATACCTACAAATTTGAGTTGCATTGTGAATGAGGGGAAGAATATGCTGTGTCAGTGGGACCCAGGAAGGGAGACATTCCTGGAAACAAACTACACGTTGAAGTCCGAGTGGTAAGTTACTCCCGATATGCCCTCTGCTGGATTCTCAGATGCTGTTGCTGGGACCTTCGTTTTGTCAGTAGTGATATTGGGTGATTATTTTAGGACATTGCGTCCTCTGACAGGAGAATCAATGTGCTCTTCATGTGTACCTGTCCCCAGTGTCAGCAGTGAGCAGTGTATGTACTGTGCCCCATGCTGCCTTTAAGAGAAGCCCAGCCATGTTCCGCCCATAGGTACTGCAGTGTGTAGCTCTAAAAGATGACTTTCAAACAGTCACATACTGTTTGTCTTAGGCAATGTTCTCTTGCTGTGAAGAGACACCTGACCATGGCAGCTCTTATAAAGGAAAACATTTAATTGGGGCTTGCTTACAGTCAGGTTTAGTCCACTATCAGCATGGTGGGAAGCATGGCAGCATGCAGGCAGACATGATCCTGGAGAGGTAGCTGAGAGCTCTACATCCAGATCAGCAGGCAACAGAAGAGAGAGAGAGCCACTGAGCCTGGCTTGAGTATTTGAAACCCCAAAGCCTCCCCACCAAATCCCATGACTTACTTCCTCAACAAAGCCACACTTACCCAACAAGGACACACCTCCCAGTAGTGCCACTCCCTAATGCCAGGCGTTCAAGTATGTGAGTCTGTGGGGCCTTTCCTGTTCAAACCACCGCACTATGGTTCTCCTCCAACAATTTGAAATATTTCAATATCAAACTTTCAGCTAGTATTAACTTTCTCATTTCTCAAAAATATTTTCTTATAAAAATATTCTTTTGAGGGGGCTGGAGAGATGGCTCAGCGGTTAAGAACACTGGCTGTTCTTCCAGAGGTCCTGAGTTCAATTCCCAGCAACCACATGGTGGCTCACAACCATCTGTAATGAGATCTAGTGCCCTCTTCTGGCCTGCAGGGATACATGCAGACATTACACTGTATATATAATAAATAAATAAATCTTTAAAAAAAAAAAAAAGAACACCTTTTTAAAAAAAAAATATTCTTTTGAATTGAGATTTTTAAAAACAAACAAAACAAAACAAAAAAAACCCTACCTTTTAAGTTGATAAATTCTTCTCTTCTTAAATGGCAGGTTCTACCTGCTTCTGTTTCCTTTCCATGCAGTTGAGTTACTTGTTGGATATCGTATAACATATCCTAAAAATTGTTATTAGGTCTATATATTGGTCAAATTTGAGTTGGATTTCTTTCCTCAAAAATCCCACTCCCAGGGATGGTGTGCTCTTCCACATTGTTTTCTGGTGTTAGGGGGAGGGCTGTGGAGATCGCTCAGTGAACTGCTTCCTGCACAGGCCTGAGACTCCGAGCTTAGGTGCCTGCCACCCACACATCAAGTCAGATGAGTGGTCCACTTCTGTGATGTCAGCTCTGGGGGACAGCTAGACTAGGCTGGAGCTTACTGGCCAGGCAGCCTGAGTCACTGAGGTCCAGCGTCCATGTGACGCTGTCTTAGTAAGTACAGTGCAGTGGGATGAGGAAGACGCCGGCCATCAGCCACTGCCCTTGCACGAATACACACACACTGAGCACTGATTTCTAGTGTCGCCAGCCTTATGCAAATTAAAATCTGTTTCTGATGCACACCAAAGCTTGGAGAATAGTGGATACCTATCCACACCCGTCACCTAGATTCTACAATTACATTTTACTAGAGTCACTTTATCTCCTGTAGATGCATCCTCCTCCCCAGCAGTCAGTGTCTCTCTTCCTTTAAAGAATTTCAAAGGAGTTGTAAGCATTACCATGATTTAGTGGAACACTTCAGTGTTTACATGATTAGATCAGTATTTAAGTGCACTAAACTTTGCATATAGTGAGAGCACAGATCCAAAGTGTGTCTGTTACACGTTTTGACAAGTGCACACACCTGTAGAACTCAGATGTTCCCTGAAAAGTTTTCTCACGTTTCTCCTCAGTTAATTCTAGTCCTGACCCCAGCTTATGAGACAGCTACTAAGATTGAATGAGCTCACTTCCCATATACTTTCTGTGTGTGAGCACTTGTCAGGGATCACTATTTGTGAGTCATAAGATAGCACTCTCCTTTATTTTATTTGTGTATTTTATTTTGTAGTTCCTGGTATCAGAACAAATGCATCCCAGGCACTCTGCCTTTGAGCTAGACCTCTAGTCTCAGAGTTACTTGAATGCTCTCGCACGAAAAGATAAGGTGCATCATGAGTTCATGTTGATATTTTTATCTGTGAGAAAGGGGACTATAGTTTTATTTTGTTTTGTTTTTTATATAATCCATCAAACAGCTACATGCTCCTTTTTTCTGCACTGAAAACGCTAGTTCCCAACAGTACTAACATGTTTGTTACCTTTCCCACGATAAACAGGAATATAATTCCAAGCACATTATTAGCACTAGTGATGATATTTCTAAAAGCAGTTTTAAGATTGGTTTTCGCCACAAGTATATATGGTCAAATCATTGTTTTGAACATTTGAAATTAGGGCCAGAGAGACTACTGCTGCTCTGCCAGAGGAAGGGTTGGCTTTATCTTTTCATTTTTTGAAGGTGTATTGTATATGAATGCTTTAAACTGGGGCGTAACTTTGTGACTAGTGTAGGCTTTCTATGGTGACAGTCATCAGAAAGTGGTTCCCTGGTTTGGCTGTAAAGGCTGAAGACATTTGGGGGCTTGATAGGCCCCCTCCACCTAATCTTTTGTCACCTAGCCTGTTCTGAATAGAGAAGATATTGCTGGTTTAGTAGGGATTCTGTTTCAAGGAGAAAACTAGAACAATCCCTTAATCTGTTGTTTCAGTCTAAAAGTATTAAATGTACAGTTCCAGAAATAAGCAATTCCAAGCAGTTGTACTCCCATCTGCATTGATGAAATTTCACATCCCCCCCGGTCCTCCTTTTGGTCCCATATCCATGCTGCCTGCTTGTTAGTTACTTAGCAGTCACCTTGGTTATTAGATTGGTTGCTGGTGATAACACAGTGCAGTGTTTAAAAAGAAAAGCCAGTTTGACCTAAAGCATGGCATTGTATATGCAAAGAGAAATGATGTAGTGGTTTTCTTTAAGTGAAAGACAGGAAGTTCTTGAGCAAGAAGAGGAAAATCACATGCTATGGTTATTTTAATCTGCACTAAGGACAGATGTACTATTTGTGGTATTATGAAGAAGAAAAAGTTATGCTATTTCACATCTCAGTTACTACCACAGTATGCAATACTTAGTAAAGATAGAAAGGCATTAAATCTGTGATTGGATGACGTGAACAGAAATCATGCTCCAGATGAGTCTGCAAGGGATCTCAAGTGATTCCTAAGGGGAGTGACACCAAGCCACTTACTGTGAGTAAGGGATGGTTATGCATATTCAGAAGTGGGTTTGAATTGAAACATACAGACCTGCTGAAGAGGTTGTCTGTAAATGAAGAAACTGCCTTTACATTTGCAGGCGCCCAGTAGAGCGTACAGTCATTAAGATGTGGTGATGCCATCAAACCATGAAGCATAGATTTATCTGGTACTGTGTGGTCCCAGTTCAAGGCGATAAGTAAGCCTGGTGTAGTGTACAAAGTGCAGACTGCATGCCTATCTGCCTGCGTTCTGGTAGCATAATTACAATGTGGAGGCGACACCCCTCCTGTATGGGGTGCTTCCATCACTGCCTTATCCAAGAAGTGGAAAAACCCTTGGAAGAAGAGTTTAAGAAGATTTAGAGTCCTACGAGCAATAGATAGTGCATAGGCTGTTACCAAGGTGTCAAGTAGTATTTGCCTCTTACTACAGCCTTGGCTGACTGGCAGAGGCCACTTGTGCCCACCTGGTATTGGTTGTGTTCAACCCTAGTTTGTACATAGGCAGTGCTGCAGGTGATTTACTGTTTCTGGGATGGTAACAGCCATAGAGTTGCTGTGGGTGAATTCAAACCAGAACTACATGTAAATGCCTGCTGGTAAGTTTATAGAGTGTAGTGTGAATGCTTTTCAAAAGTTTACAGAGAAGACAGGGAAATCGTTCACATGGCAGATAAGTTGGTAGAGAATGATTTGCTGATGTGTGGAACAGCATCGAAGGCCTTTGAGAAGTACTCATGAATGAGGAATGAAAGGACTCAACAAGTCCATCTTGTTGAGTCACCTACAGAAGAAGATGAAGAGGAAACTGAAGTATAACCAGCAACGAACACATTATAGAAACAGCCTCATAGAACAAAAGTTCAAGAACTTAGGGAATCAGCAGAGTGTTTGAATCACACAGACACTGAAGAACAAAAGTATAGAATATAGTCCTTGGAGAAATACAACATTAAAGGCATGCTCTGATCACAGGCAGATTACCGCCTTTCTAAGCAATCCTTTGGTGAGTTAAAGACAGGCAAGCTGCACTTACAGTGTTCTTCTAGAAGCTTGCAGTGGATCACTTTATAAACAATAGATAACCAACCGTAGACATAATCTGCTCCAAATGGCATCACCTGAAACAAATGGTCCTTGTCTTAGTGTTCTATTGCTGAGAAGGGACACCATGACCAAGGCAACTCTCATAAAAGAAAACATTTAACTGGGGGCTGGCTTACAGTTTCAGAGCCGAGTCCATTATCATCACGGCAGGGAGCACGGTGGCTTGCAGGCAGGCGTGGTGCTAGAGAAGTAACTGAGAGTTCTACACCTGGATCCACAGGCAGCAGAGAGAGAGAGAGAGAGACACTGGGCCTGGCTTGGACTTTGGAAGCCTCAAAGCCCACCCCCAGTGACACACTTCCTCCAACAAGGCCACAGCCCCTATTCTCAAGTAGCACCACTTCCTAATGACTAAAACATTCAAATCTATGAGCCTCTGGGGCCATTCTTGCTCAGACCACCACAGTCCTCTTTCGGAATTTTTGTCAGGTCAGTAGTGTCCTAACATTCTCTCTCAGGACTGATGTCATTCACCTCAATTCAAACCGTCTTCCATGCAGTGTGTCAGCTTACAGCATGACAAGAAAAGTGAGCACGCTACAGTATTTAGGGAGAGACTGCATTCACTTAACTGTTACATGGTAGAGTTGTTCATTACCAAGCTTAATTTAGAGATTAAATACCATCGTAGTGAAGCATGTTAGGAAAAACCATAGTGTACCTAGGATTTGGTGTTACCCAGCATTTCAGGCATCTGCAGGGGATCCTGAAACATGTCTTTGTGAATGAGGTGGGGCTGCTATTCTAAGATCACAAGAAATAGATAATTTTTAGTGACGGGTCAATAAGGACATAGCATAAAATTCTGAAATTAAATTCTCAGATTAAAATGTGGAAATAAGACATAGATATAGATTGAGTACAATTTTAAAAATATGTGATCTGTCTTTGGTGACCAACATTTATTGCAGTCTTTACTGCAATAGTCTGGGTCATATCCAACTCTTTTCCAGTAACTTTTTTTACCTTTGTATTTTTAAATTTATTTTTAATGGCTGATTTCTTCCAATTTTATATTTAGGGCAACAGAAAAGTTTCCTGATTGTCTAACAAAGCATGGCACCTCGTGCATGGTTAGCTACCCTCCTATCTATTTTGTCAACATTGAAGTCTGGGTGGAAGCAGAAAATGCCCTCGGGAAGGTCTCATCAGAGGGTATCAATTTCGATCCCGTGGATAAAGGTACCTATATTTGAGTACTACTCAGTGGTTTGTAATTACTTTTCAGACTTCAGTTAATATAGAAATGCTTATTAGTACAGTGATTTTTGTAGTCTTTTTATAATATTATTAAATGTAATATTATAAATAGCTGTAGTCTGGCCACACTTGTGGCCATTTTCAGTGTGCTTTTGGAATGTTTTATCATTGCTGTTTGTTTGTTTTCTGTTGTTTTGCTTTTGAGACTAGGTCTCATGTAGCCCAGGCTGGTTTTAAACTGACTGTGTGTCTGAGGCTAACATTGAACTGATCCTCCGAATGTTACCTTTTGGTATTCATCCAATTTTCCAGCATCTCATACCATTGCAATCACAGTGACTTTCTTGTTCTGTTTTTATTTTCTTTTTAAAATGTGTTTTGTTAAAAAAAAAAATTCAGTATTTTTATACCAGCACCTGAAAATTAGTAACTATACTAAACAGACAAGGAAATTTTCCTTAACATCTTTTCCCATTGTATAGCAGAGCATCATTTCTAGAGAACTTTCATTTGGTAAGAATAATCTAATAAAGAAGATTATAGTTGGTTTGACTTTGTATATGAAATTATAAAACTAAAGTATAACCAACATTAGGACTTATTTTATTCTTCAGTGAAACCCAGCCCACCACATAATTTATCAGTGAGCAACTCAGAGGAATTATCCAGTATATTAAAGTTAACGTGGATCAATTCAGGTTTTGGCAGTTCTTTAAGGCTGAAATCCGACATTCAATATAGGACCAAAGATGCCTCAACTTGGATCCAGGTAAATAGAAAGTTGCTGTTTATTCTAACAGTGTTTTGTTTTGTTTTGTTTTTGAATGCTAATATCAAGTCTTACCTCTTTTCTCAATGTCTGAAGTTTGTGATCACGTGAACATGTCATTTGACAGACATGCCGATAGAAACACACAGTGACCTTTAAGGAAGTGGTGCAGGGTCTTAGGAAGAGCACTTTTGATGGAAATGAAAGGCATGTGGGTCAGTACAGAGATTTTAAGGATGACATAGAGCAGGACTTGGCATACATACTTCAGACTGTCTTTGCTACAGTGGGCTAAAGCCTGCCACCACTTTTATAAATGGAGTTTTACTAAAACGTGTTGGTTATCTTTATTTGGGGGCTAGAGTGGCAGAGTTGAATAGGTGTAACGGATTTTCTGCCCACAGCCCATGATCCTGACTTTCTAGTCCTTAGAGGCTTTGCCAGCTCCTACAGTACAGAAAAAGATGGAGGGGAATGTTAAAATGGGAAGGGAAGGGGTGGCATGCCCCGAGCCGCCGCTCAGCAGAGGATCCTTGCCGCGGTCTGCAGGCCAGCAGGTCACTGACTGCCTGCGTTGGTTTTGCTGCAGTTCCACTTACTACTGATAGCCCACTGTGGCTCTAGTTGGTTGATTGGTCCATTCATTTATTTCACTACCCTGGTTGCATTATGAAGTTAGAAGGCTGTTGAGCCCCAAACCTTGGTACTACTTTCTGCTGCTCCACTTTCCTATGGGCTCCGAATACAGTTCCAAATTAACAAAACAGAATCGGGATCATGACTCATACTGTATAGAGAGGACGTGTACCCAAAGTTCTTCAAAGTATGCTTTAAGATTATAGACTCTTAATTTAGTAGTACAAAAGAGACCCCACCAAACTTAACGTCTATTTTTGTATCCAGTATCAAAATCTCAGAGTGGAAGAAAAAAATAGTAATTTTGTATATTTGATCTCTCTACGCCCAAATAAAGGCAACTTTATTTATTAGGCTAGCTTCTAGTTTTCTTTACTTTTTCAACATTATTTATTTGTGTATGGGGGTATGCATGTGTGTGAGTGCATGTGTACACTTCACAGCATGTATGTGGAAGTCATAGCAACCTACAGAAGGCATTTTCTCTTTTCACTGTGTGGACCCCAGACCTCATGTTGTCATACTTGGTGGCAGGCCATCCCATCAGCCCTAGCTTTTATTTTCTTGATGGGGTTGAATAATGGCTTCCTTTTCTTCGACGAGGGCACATCCTTTCTTCTCCACACGACTCCTGTCTTGGTGTGCTGGCCTGTATGATTTCACTGTGGGTTCCCTTCCCATCTACTTTCTTATGAGTTCATGCACGGAAGGGTCTTGATGGGAAAGAAGAGGGATAGAACTGAGAACATGTTAATGTTCTTGTTCTGTGGAGGAAGCTGCCTCTCTGAGATTGTGCCTGTCAAGGCTGCCCTCTCTGACTCTTCCTTCAGACTCTTTTCCCCTTTGGACATCCAGTTAGTTGGTAACAGTATTCCTAGTATACTAACCACTGAGATTCCATTATATATGGTCTTGCCCATATCTTTTTACTAAGCCTCCTTGAAGGGTTTTGTTGTTGTTGTTTGTTTGTTTTTACTGTTTGGTTTGGTTTGGCTTATAAAAGTTTATATATGTACTTGGTCCTTTGTTTGCTTGGTCTGGCTCTTTGAGCCAGCATCTCAGGTAAATAGTCTGGCCTGGCCTAGAACCTGCTACTTGGTCTGTCTTCTAGTGCAGTCTTGCCTGATATTACAGCGCATGTCATCTCTTTCATGTTGAGAATCCTGAGCAATACAGGTCTCATAGAAACAAGAAAGAAAAGGAAGAACAGATGGATGTAGATTGTCATATTTTTACCTTCATTTCTTTCTCTCCAGAGGCTAAATTTATTAATCTCATGTTAAATTTATTCCTAAAATTGTACTCAGTTTAGGAAACCTTATATATTGGGGTGTTGATGACCATGTCCCTCAATTTGCTTTATTTTCAGGTCCCTCTTGAAGATACAGAGTCTCCCCGAACTTCCTTCACCATCCAGGACCTTAAACCTTTCACAGAGTATGTGTTTAGGATCCGCTCCATAAAGGAGGACGGCAGAGGCTACTGGAGCGACTGGAGTGAGGAGTCAAGTGGGGTCACGTATGAGGACAGTGAGTAGAGAACGGGGTGGGGTCACATATGAGGACAGTGAGTAGAGAACGGAGTGGGGAGAGCGCCAGTGGAGTTTGGGCTGTGAACTCTGTTTTTAGAGATGCAGACCTCACTGCTGCTTAGATACGATCATCTTAGTCAAACCAGTGTTTTATTCTTTCATTTGTAAGGACATCACGAAATAGAATTTGATGTGTATTATTGATAGTATAAATCTATTTGATACCTAATTAGGTTACATTATTATGAAAGAATATTTTAGTTGTCATTAAAAAACCATTCACTTAACTTTGTTCAAAAAAGGTGGTCCCAAGATACCCCTAACTAGAGAATTGTTTCCTAACTCATTAAAAAATCACACTGTCAAAGCTGGGTGTGGTGGTGCACGCCATCAATCCCAGCATTGGTGAGGCAGAGGCAGGAAAATCTCTGAGTCTGAGTTCCAAGCCAGCCAGGACTGCACAGACCTTGTCTACAAAACAAAACAAAACAAAACAAAACACTGCCAAAAAAACATGTTACACGTTTTTATTTTTCCTACCAGCATTTGATAAGCCCTTGGAAAAGGAATGATTTGGGGTTGGGTTGGTTTGCTTTAATTTTCCTTTTTTCATCATTGATTAAATCATAATTACATATACTATAGAGAATATAAAACCCCAAATGGTATAGAGTCTAAAAAAGGGTCTTTCTGGGTCTGGTGAGGTGGCTTAGTGAGTAAGAGCACTTATTGCTCTGTTAGAGGCCTGGAGTTCTATTTCCAGCACAAACATGGCAGCTCATCATCTGTAACTCCAGCTCAGAGAATCCCACACTCTCTTCTGGCCTCTAAGGCATTGCATACTATAGTGTATAGACATACATGCAGGGAAAACCCTCATAAAATAAGAACACATACATCAAAAGAAAGAACTTTCTTCACAGAACTGCTAGCATTACTGAGCTCCTGTGTAGCCACCAAGAAACAGTCCTTTGGCATTGATTCTTCTCCTACCATAGTCTCATAAGAGCAGTTTAAGCTTACAAACCCCATTCCTTCACACCATCTTGCTAGAGGTTTAGGTCACTCTGTTAACTAAGAATGTCAAAGGCAGAAAAGTCCCCTCATTCTATAATGTTTTTCTCTCACTCTCATAAATACTGTGAAGAACGCAGTCTTACTATGGCCAATATAAAGATGCTCAATCAATTAACTAAGCTTCAGCTTGACAGAATTTTTTTGCAGGGGAATTCCTACTTTGTAACACAGGCTGGCCTTAGACTCCTTAGACTCTCAGCAATCCTGTCTCAGCCTCCCAAATGGTAGGAATATAGACCACCACGCCAGGTTGTTAACTGGGAATTCTTAAAGTGGTTTTTAGAGGTTTATGGGTGCATTTGTACAAGTTCATGAAACACCTCAGTATGTAGGCAAAATTTGGTTAAGTGTACATTCAGAGTTCTCTAGAGCCAAAACCTTACAAGCCAGCAGAGGAGGTATTCCGTAAACCTGCAGCATGTAGCTTCTGGATGCTGTTCATGTTAAGACATTTCTCTGGCTCACTTCCTGTGTGCTCTCATGTTCTTTATTCCATCTGAGTGTGTTAGATCGAATGTCCTGCGCCAGCAGCTTTTCACAAGCCTTCCTGATTGCCGCCTTCTCCTCACTCCCTCACTGTGTACTGCGTTACGTACGGCCTTTTCATAACCAGCACACCACCTATTGTGTTTCATCCAAATACTGGTTTGTTTTAGTGAGTACTATATTTGCAGTTATACTCAACACAGCTCTGAAAAGTCAGGACTTACAGGACTGTTTGTTTTGTTGTTTGAAATGGGCCCATGCTCAAACTTGCTAGGTAGCCATGGCTGGTCACAGTCTTCTACTTCCACATCTCCAGTGCTGGGTAATGAGACAACGTGCTCACCTACCTCCTAGAAGAATTTTTTAGTGTGGTTATAGTGCTCACTGCTTGTCTTCAGTTACCCCAGTTTAAAAATAGTAAATGAAAATTCCAGGAAGTAATAATTTATAAATTTTAAGTAACTTTGGTATGTTTTCTTATTATCCATTATTTGGTATCATCCATTGTTGTTAATCTGTTACTGTATTTAATTTACAAGTTAAACTTTAGCACGAGTAGTGTATCCGCAGGAAAGCAATGCATATGTAATGTTCAGTACTCTGGAGTGCCTGGTGTCCACGTGGGTTCTCAGAACACATCCCATACAGATTAGAGGGGCTGCTGCATTAGTGCATGACACAGCATCCCAGTGCTCTGAGCTGTCTTTTATATATATATGCACATACCGTTCTAGACTGCAGCCATATACTTACATATGTGTTTCCAATTTAATGTTTAGCAAAATGTAATATCAAATAATTCAGTTTCATTTTTTAATCAGTATTGAAAGAAAAACTTTAAGACTTTTTTCTTTCTATTCACTGTACTACATGAATGCACACACACACACACACACACACACACACACACACACACACCTTACTTTCTTTTTTTTAAAATCAATACTGTCACCTGATTGCTCAGACCTATTAGATGAGGTGTGGTGGCATGTTTTTGGAATCACAGCTATTTGAGAAAATGAGGTTGGAATATCACCATTTCAGGCCCAGCCTTGCCAGCCACAGGATCCCATTCAGTTTTTTCAAGAAAACACTACTGTTAAATATAATTGAAGCTATGCCAGTCAGTAGAATGAGAAAGATTTGCATGAATGTAAGTGGTGGGTTTCTGACCATGAAGAAGCAGTTAAAACAGACAAATGAGGAGACCAGTGAAGTGAGGAGCTGCTGTGTGCGGTGAAGGTGTGTGTCTGAATACAGTGAAGCACCCCACAGAAGGAAGCGTGCACACACAAATAGGGATGCTTTTCTGTCTGCTGACTAGAATATACTTATATCTCTATAGCATTAAGAGTAGAAAAGAATTCCATTGTAATCCACAGCCAAGCACCATGGCACAGCTGTCAGGAGGCTGAGGCAGGAGAATCATTTGAGTCTAGAAGTTCTGAGCAGCCCTGAATAACAAAGCAAAACTCCATCTCAAGTAAAGAAGTAGAAAGATGGCAGTGATCTAAATGATCAGCTGTCACCTCACTAATGAAAGTCCCTAGTGCACACATTGTACTGCATTGGCTGCTGCTGTGAGCAGTCACCTGACTAATGAAAGACCCAAGTACATTGTACTGCAGTATGCTGCTGCTGTGAGCAGTCACCTGACTCATGAAAGACCCAAGTGCATTGTACTGCAGTGGGCTGCTGCTGTGAGCAGTCACCTGACTAATGAAAGACCCAAGTGCATTGTACTGCAGTGGGCTGCTGCTGTGAGCAGTCACCTGACTCATGAAAGACCCAAGTGCATTGTACTGCAGTGGGCTGCTGCTGTGAGCAGTCACCTGACTCATGAAAGACCCAAGTGCACACATTGTACTGCAGTGGCTGCTGCTGTGAGCAGTCACCTGACTAATGAAAGACCCAAGTGCATTGTACTGCAGTGGGCTGCTGCTGTGAGCAGTCACCTGACTCATGAAAGACCCAAGTGCATTGTACTGCAGTGGGCTGCTGCTGTGAGCAGTCACCTGACTAATGAAAGACCCAAGTGCACACATTGTACTGCAGTGGGCTGCTGCTGTGAGCAGTCACTTGACTAATGAAAGACCCAAGTGCACACATTGTACTGCAGTGGGCTGCTGCTGTGAGCAGTCACCTGACTCATGAAAGACCCAAGTGCACACATTGTACTGCAGTGGGCTGCTGCTGTGAGCAGTCACCTGACTCATGAAAGACCCAAGTGCATTGTACTGCAGTGGGCTGCTGCTGTGAGCAGTCACCTGACTCATGAAAGACCCAAGTGCATTGTACTGCAGTGGGCTGCTGCTGTGAGCAGTCACCTGACTAATGAAAGACCCAAGTGCACACATTGTACTGCAGTGGGCTGCTGCTGTGAGCAGTCACCTGACTCATGAAAGACCCAAGTGCACACATTGTACTGCAGTGGGCTGCTGCTGTGAGCAGTCACCTGACTCATGAAAGACCCAAGTGCATTGTACTGCAGTGGGCTGCTGCTGTGAGCAGTCACCTGACTCATGAAAGACCCAAGTGCATTGTACTGCATTGGCTGCTGCTGTGAGCAGTCACCTGACTCATGAAAGACCCAAGTGCACACATTGTACTGCAGTGGGCTGCTGCTGTGAGCAGTCACCTGACTCATGAAAGTCCCTAGTGCATTGTACTGCAGTGGGCTGCTGCTGTGAGCAGTCACCTGACTCATGAAAGACCCAAGTGCACACATTGTACTGCAGTGGGCTGCTGCTGTGAGCAGTCACCTGACTCATGAAAGACCCAAGTGCACACATTGTACTGCAGTGGGCTGCTGCTGTGAGCAGTCACCTGACTCATGAAGACCCAAGTGCATTGTACTGCAGTGGGCTGCTGCTGTGAGCAGTCACCTGACTCATGAAAGACCCAAGTGCACACATTGTACTGCAGTGGGCTGCTGCTGTGAGCAGTCACCTGACTCATGAAAGACCCAAGTGCATTGTACTGCAGTGGGCTGCTGCTGTGAGCAGTCACCTGACTCATGAAAGTCCCTAGTGCACACATTGTACTGCAGTGGGCTGCTGCTGTGAGCAGTCACCTGACTAATGAAAGACCCAAGTGCACACATTGTACTGCAGTGGGCTGCTGCTGTGAGCAGTCACCTGACTCATGAAGACCCAAGTGCACACATTGTACTGCAGTGGGCTGCTGCTGTGAGCAGTCACCTGACTCATGAAGACCCAAGTGCATTGTACTGCAGTGGCTGCTGCTGTGAGCAGTCACCTGACTCATGAAGACCCAAGTGCATTGTACTGCAGTGGGCTGCTGCTGTGAGCAGTCACCTGACTCATGAAGACCCAAGTGCACACATTGTACTGCAGTGGGCTGCTGCTGTGAGCAGTCACCTGACTCATGAAAGTCCCTAGTGCACACATTGTACTGCAGTGGGCTGCTGCTGTGAGCAGTCACCTGACTCATGAAAGACCCAAGTGCACACATTGTACTGCAGTGGGCTGCTGCTGTGAGCAGTCACCTGACTCATGAAAGACCCAAGTGCACACATTGTACTGCAGTGGGCTGCTGCTGTGAGCAGTCACCTGACTCATGAAAGTCCCTAGTGCACACATTGTACTGCAGTGGCTGCTGCTGTGAGCAGTCACCTGACTCATGAAAGTCCCTAGTGCACACATTGTACTGCAGTGGCTGCTGCTGTGAGGAGGAACACCGTGACTGAAGGGCAAGACCACTAAGAACAAAAAGAGTCACTTCAGGATTTTTCTGTATTGTTAAGATAAAAAGCATTTTATTTTATGAAGTTTGTGTTTTCTTTAGGCCCATCCAAACCGCCGAGTTTCTGGTATAAGATAAGTCCACCCCATACTCCGGAATCTAGAACTGCACGGCTCATATGGAAGGTAAAAAAACTAAAAAAAAGATTTATACTCATCCCATAGAATGCATTTAAATGTTATTTGAAGTTTTTTTTTTCTTTTTTTTGGTTTTTCGAGACAGGATTTCTCTGTGTAACTTTGCGCCTTTCCTGGATCTCGCGCTGTAGACCAGGCTGGCCTCGAACTCACAGAGATCCGCCTGCCTCTGCCTCCCGAGTGCTGGGATTAAAGGCGTACGCCACCACCGCCCGGCTATTTGAAGTTTTTTAACACTTAAATTTTTATTCTATGCATCTTAATTTCCTCCAGGCATTTAATAATGTTACTGTATAGAAACACAAAGCCTTATTCAGCTAATGGAGAGGCCATCCAAGTTCGTGAACTTAGCTGACCCCTCATTTGGGAGTTCAGCACAGTTCATAAAATGGTGACCTCTGTAAGAACAAGGCCCATGTTCTGAAGTTCTCCGAACTCCCTAGAGAGTCTCCTAGAAAGAAACAGAGGCTTGGAGACAGCAGGCTGTGGGCTGATGAGGCCATACATGTGCTGATTCAATACATCATACTTTAAAAGGTAGAGAGAAAAAAATGCTGAAGCCTAAATAATGTAGACTCACATCTCAGCTGTGTAGACACTGCAGAACCAGAAGCTAGACCGTGCTACAGCCCCAGTTCATTTGAAGGGTTTTTTTTCCTATTTCTTATTTTGTTGGTTTATATTCTTAGTGAGGAGTACTAAATTCAAAATGAGCTCAGGCTGAAGAGACGGCTCAGCAGTCATGAGCACTGGCTGCTCTTCTAGAGGATCCAGGTTTGGTTCCTAGTGCCCACATGGTGGTTCACATCTGTCTGTAACTCCATGGGTGCCAGGCATGCACACAGTACATGGACAGACATGCAGGCAAAACACTAATATCCATAAACATAAATATATCTTTTTAAAAATGAGTTTGTCTTCTCTTTCCAATTAAATATTTACAGGTTTGACATACTGGCAGAATTTGTGGATGTGAAAAAAATGATTATTCAAGATTCATAAAATAACTTTCGGTAAAATTTTATTATAGGAATTACCTCTTTCTGAAGCCAATGGAAAAATCTTGGATTATGAAGTGACTCTTACACAGTGGAAATCATTTTCACAAAATTACACAGTTAATGGTACAGAATTGATAGTAAATCTCACAAATAATCGCTATACAGCATCTCTAGCAGCAAGAAATAAGGTTGGCAAATCAGATCCAGCTGTCCTCACCATCCCCAGCTCCCACTTCAAAGGTGCGTATAAGGCGGAGGTTCATTTGTGGGTGTCAGGGTTAAGTGTGGACAGGGCCCCAGAAAGCATGGTAGAGAAGCTCTTCCCTGCCCGCAGCGGCAGTGGCCACAGGTTGAGATCAGGAGGCTCTGTCCATCAGGACTCAGGAAGGACTCCCACACTGTGTGGCTCACGTAAACTCTACTGCTAGCTTACTAATTCTTCAAGGGTTTCCTTGTGATTTATTTGGTTTTTTGAAATACTGTTTCAAGGTTCTCAGAACTTTCTTTGCAAGTGACACAAATATATTGTTTACCTCTAGCTGTTAAGGACAAAGACCCAATTATAAACTTAAAATCATAAAACCTTTGGAGATTTGGAGAAAGAGAATTTGAGTTTAAAAATAGACTGCCTGTATGTAAGTGTTTTTTCTTTTGGAGCTTTATAAGCCACATGCTTTGGATATGACGGTAAAATATTGAAATGTCAGCTCTGTGAGTGTTGACTGATTTTATTCTTTTTCAAGCCTCTCACCCTGTAGTGGATCTTAGCGCATTCCCAAAAGATAAGAAGCTCTGGGTAGAATGGACTCCTCCACCAAAGCCTGCGAAGAAATACATAATCGAGTGGTGTGTGTTGTCAGATAACTCACCCTGTGTCCCAGATTGGCAGCAGGAAGGTGGCGCCGTGACACAGACCTACTTAAGAGGTATTCCTCCTCCCTGACCATTTAAGTAGATCGCATCTGTCTGACTCTTGAGACGGTCTCCTTCGCATGCTGCTGTTCTTGTTTTCTGTTTTCGAGGTGTTGTGAGCCACTGGAAAGACTTAGAGCCGCACTAGAGACTAGATATGTGACTCTTGGCAAGTTACACGAAACACTTAGCCTCTCTTAGGGTCTCTTTGGAGAAGGGCTAATGCTTTTGTAGACATTTGCAAAACCAATAGAGAATCAAGTCCGGCCTTTCCTTTCGTTATGTGTCCTCAACTCCGCTAACTCCCTAATCTTCCAGATGTAAAATAGTTCCTAGTTTAACTTTGTAGGACCATCGAGTACAGTGAGCCCAACCAGAACACAGGCTTCCATATTCTTTCAAGTTCTGCCCTAGAGTGGTAATGATGTTGCAGGGTTCCAAACACACTCTTCTGTGTGATTGTAGCTGCTACCTACTACCACGAGGTTGTAAAGTCACGTAACAGCGTTAAGGGAAAAACAGCCCACTCCATATGTGTTCTTGTACTCCTAAAACAGGGCGACCATCAGAGTGGGTGGCACAGAGGGCACCCTGAGCAGGGATGGCTGCTGCAAACCACAAGCTTCACTTGTGAAGGGGCATGCTTGGCTCTTACCAACCTGCTCTTCATTGGTAATAAGCTTGGGTGTCTCCTTTGACCATATCAAACCCGGGAACTGAACGAGTGTAGGGTCATCTAGAAACAAAGATTCAAGGCCCAGTACCCTGGAAGCATTGTTATCAGAGCAACATTTAGAAATGGCTCACCTTTTGATAGTGGGTATCAAGAAAAGGTAAAATTGCTATTTTTAGGAAGACAAAAGGTTTGTGTACTTTTACAGATGTTAGTGAAGGAAATAGACATTCATGTTGAAGGTGTAAATGGTATAAATAACCACCTTATTTTCTGGTACGTATGAGACATAGTTTATAAAAGACCATTTTAACTGTTGCCTGCTAAACCATGCTTTACTGCCTGCTAAAACTTACTTTGATCACTTGGAAGGATTAGAAATAAAGTAGTGTATTCAAGATTTGTTTCTTTTAAAATCGAGGGGGAAGCAGCCTTCACTGTAGTCTCCCCAAGGCCCCTGGCCAACCACAGCTGTGCGTTAGTGCTCACCCCACGATCTTACCCTCGCAGCTTGGCAGTCTCAAAATGAGCTAAAACACCTCAGCTGTCCCAGAATAATTGGAAGTGTTTCGCTTATGTGTCCTGACGTAAAGGCAGTTTACTTCTGTGAACAGTGTAAACACTCTGTACTTTTCGGTTTGCTTTGTTGACAGAAAACGTAGCCTTTCTTTTAGTCCTTGCTGTCTCTAGAGAGCTCATCCTAGCCTGTACTCACAGTGTAGCCCAGGATAGCTTCCAACTCGTCATCCGCCTCCCACCTCAGCCATCTGAGTGCTAGAATTACACAACCGACATTTTAGTGCATTAAGTCTGCATTTGGAATAGAAAAGGCAACTTTATCTATAAAACTGCAGTTTTTAGAAGAAAGGAAACGACAGTAGTCATGAAATTATAAGGTAAAAATCCTGGATTTTCATTTCTCATTTGGGGGAAATGACTTCTCTGTTCCTATAGGAAGCCTCCTGGAGAGCAAGTGTTACCTGATCACCGTGACTCCGGTGTTCTCCAGTGGACCCGGGAGCTCCGAGTCAGTAAAGGCCTACCTCAAACAGGCTGGTGAGTCCACCCGTGCTTGCTTTGGAAATGCTTACCATTCACAAAAGCATTTGATCACTTTTAAATCAGAATCCTTACTATGTTCAAATAATTGTATGAATAGACTCTTTACTGATGTGTGTTACTTCAGTTACCAAATGCGTTTACTGTCTTACAGCACCTTCTAGAGGACCCATTGTTCGCACAAAGAAAGTGGGGAAAAATGAAGCTGTCTTAGAATGGGACCAGCTTCCTGTTGATGAACAGAATGGATTTATTAGAAACTACTCTATCTCTTATAGAACCATCATCGGAAATGAAATCGGTAATAAAATTGTAGCAATTACTAAGACTATGTTACTAAAACTTTTTCTTAAGTTTTTTCAATTCTAGTTTCTCATGTAATGTGTCTTATAGTATGCATCATCCTCAGCAGACACCACAGATGTCTCATGTAATGTGTCTTATAGTATGCAGCATCCTCAGCAGACACCACAGATGTCTCTTGTAATGTGTCTTATAGTATGCAGCATCCTCAGCAGACACCACAGATGTCTCTTGTAATGTGTCTTATAGTATGCAGCATCCTCAGCAGACACCACAGATGTCTCTTGTAATGTGTCTTATAGTATGCAGCATCCTCAGCAGACACCACAGATGTCTCCTGTAATGTGTCTTATAGTATGCAGCATCCTCAGCAGACACCACAGATGTCTCCTGTAATGTGTCTTATAGTATGCAGCATCCTCAGCAGACACCACAGATGTCTCCTGCAGCTGGGTGTGTGACTGTCTTGTGAAATACTGTACTGTGGTCTGCTAGTATTGTGGGCTGTGGCTCAGCAGGCCAAGGGCTTGCCACCAAGCCTCATGAGCCCAGGTCAACCCCTGGGCCTCCCATGGCAGCGGGTGAGGGGAGCAAATTGAGAACTGATTCTCAGAAGTTGCCCTCTGACCTTCACACATACAGTCTCTCTCCTTCTCTTTCTCACATACGTATGCAGAGTAAGTAAATGTGGTTTTGCAACAATTTTAAACTTTAAATAAATATTATTTTGTCCTTAAAGTATTTTTAGTTATAAATATGACAGATAAATCAAAAACATTGGATAAAAGAAGCCTCATTTTTCCTTGCAGTTGTGCATGTGGATTCTTCCCACACAGAATATACACTGTCCTCCTTGAGTAGTGATACGCTGTACATGGTCCAAATGGCAGCATACACAGATGAGGGTGGAAAAGAAGGTCCGGAATTCACTTTCACAACACCAAAGTTTGGTAAGAAGTCAGGAGATTTTGTCTGTTTTAACTTGAATTTGACTAGACATGGATTTGCTACACTAAAGCATTGTTTAAAAGTGTACCGTTGCCGGGCGGTGGTGGCGCACGCCTTTAATCCCAGCACTCGGGAGGCAGAGCCAGGCGGATCTCTGTGAGTTCGAGGCCAGCTTGGGCTACTAAGTGAGTTCCAGGAAAGGCGCAAAGCTACACAGGGAAACCCTGTCTCGAAAAACCAAAAAAAAAAAAAAAAAAAAAAAAGTGTACCGTTGAGGGTGGCGGTGCAGCTCAGTGGTAGAGTGCTAACAACATCAGAGCCCTGGCTGTGGGGGGGAGGGGGAGGGGGGAGTGAGACTCAGAAAGGCGTGTGTCCATTAGGATGCTTATGGTGGTCATCTGCTTTAGATGCTGCGGTATAGGAATCCCTCCCCCTTTGGAGCCTACGTAACTGCGGCGGCTGAGTCCACCTGCACTGTAAATCCCAAGAGCTTACAGACCATTCTCCGTGGGTTCCCTTATTCACAGGGTGCCTTGTGTCAACTTTCCATCCTTCCTGCACTTGGTCCTTCTGCTTACGACAGATTTCTTGAGAAACTAGTCTGGCTCATTCACTGTGCTGCTGAAGTCGGTTTTCACCCCAGTGTCCGTCACTCATCGAGGACCCACGTCCTGCCCAGTGCTGAATTTTATCTTCACCTTTGTTTCCCAGCTTCAGCACAGTCTGTTGGCTTTCCCTTGCCTTAGCTCCCTTGTGCCCGTGGTTCTTAGAGCCATGCTTTTGTCTTCCTGCTTGCACAGCACTTTTACAAGTTCTGTTCTGCAGAGCTCTGTCATTGGTCCAGTCTCCATATGTGCCCATTAGACTCCCTACATGGTTCAGCTACCTTCTCCTTCCTGCCGCAACCATACAACTATTTGCGAAAACCAGAAATGTAACTGTAATTGCAGTAAATGTCTGTATTTTTCTCTCACATAATTGAAGAAAGTCGGGTTGCCTGTGCATTGGAATCAACTTGCCACTTTGACCAGAGGCTCGTTACTGTCTTTACCTCATCCCGTCCTTGTTTACATCCTTATGCTCTTGTGTGGCTGTTCTGTAGCCTTCCTGAAGACTTATTCTTTGAACCAGGGGAAAAGGAGATAGCTGGAGGACTTAACCAAGAACTACCACAGGGAGAGCGTTTCAAATGTCTCCAACATTTCTCCCTCAGTGACTCATTTAAGTCCTCTTTTAAAAGCATTCAGAGATTTGTGTGGTACTTAGAAATTTCAGATTTATTTGCATCTTTAAATATTTTATTTGTTTTTGAGACAGTGTCTCTAGTGATATAGCCCAGGATCAAGTTTGGCATCAAACTCCCAATCCTCCTGCCTCCACCTCCTGCCTACTTGAGACTGCAGGCAAGCACCAGCATGCCCGGCCTTGCTGCTCTTTAGCTGAATTGTCTGCTCTGCCACCCCCATGCCTTGTGAGCATCCCTTCTGAAAGTCTTGGCCCCATAGCAGATGTATTACCGTTGTGATGATTATTACCAGTGAGCTGAATTCATTGTATTCTCCCAGCCAGTGTGTGTGTTTTATACTTACTACATAGCCAGGTTTGCAGTGGAAGGACAAATGGCTGGGGTTAACCAAGGACAGAGAGGAAGAAAGACTGCCTCAAACCTGAAGTGCAACAGGGCAGGTGAAAGGCATGTATACGTTGTCGATAATCTGCAATGCAGGCCCTGGGAAGACAGACAGGAGAGCCTGGGCGGGCTCCCGAGTGAGTCCAGGTCATTCTGGGTGCATGTGATACACTTTTTCCATAAACAAAAAGCAGGCAGTGTCCAGTGAGGACACTGTGTGTTCTCCTCTTTCTGTATGTGTTAACAGTTACTTTTTGTTTGCCCTTTGGTTTTTAGCTCAAGGAGAAATAGAAGCCATAGTCGTGCCCGTGTGCCTAGCATTCCTCCTGACGACTCTTCTGGGCGTCCTGTTCTGCTTTAATAAACGAGACCTGTAAGTACCGGTTCTCCTCACTGTTGATTGGGCTGCAGTTCATTTACGTAATAGTATCGAACTGTCGACATCTACAGCGGGATGGATTGTGCACAGATGCCTCCCGACCATCCACCCCACTTCTGCAACGCTTCCTCCCTCATTCCTAGTCTGCCCTCTCAGCCCCCGCCCCACACAGACGAGCCGTGTTCCCAGTGACAGCTTCATCTTAGCTCGAAGCTCATGTGCATGCGATCAGGTGGCTTGCAGTCTTCTGGGAGTCTCACGTTTAGCTACTTGTGAGCTCATTCATGCTCTTGCTTATGTTAATTTCTCTCCTTTATGCTGCTGTGTCCTGACCTGTAGTGTGGTACAGGAGAGAGTTTAGAGGTTTCTTACTGTGACTGTTGTTTATACCACCACTGTGAATACCCATATTCCACACTCTGTGGGTACGTGTTTTCCTGGAGCTCAGATAATTTAACTTGACGAGAAGCTGCTGGGACCAGGCCTGTAGCTCTGTGGTAGAGCGTTCAGATGACATGTGCAGGGCTCTAGGTTCCAATTCCAGCACCACAGGAGAAGAATAAAGAGACAGCCCAAGCTTCTCAGTGCCTCCACCATCTTGCAGGCGCTCCACCAGCGCTAGCACTTGGCCCTGAGGCGTTCACTTTGGTTGTTGCTGAAATGTGGTGTGTTTCATATCCATTTTCCTGGTTACCATTGGCTCTTGCCAGGAGTCACCTGCCTTGTTCATAGTATATCGATTGAAGTCTTTTGTCCAATTTTAAATTGGGTTGTTTTGCAAATACTGAGTTGTAAAAGTTCTTTTTGCTTGAGAACAAATTTTTTGTCAAATACAGTTTTGCAAATTTTGTCCCAGTTTGTGTATTTTTGTTTAACTATGACTTTGGAAAAGCAGGAGTTTCTAATTTTGAAGTCCTTTCCCAGGCTTTTCCTGTGGTTCTTGCATTTTGTAACCTTTTTAAGAAATCTGTCTAACCCAGTGTCCTATGTTTTTTTCTAGGTCACTAGTTTTAGCTCTAACATCTATAATCCATCCTGAATTAATTTGGGGGCATGCTGTGGATCAGAGTTAGGTCCCCCCACCCCTCCCACCCCAGTCTAGTTCTGTTGATTTTGAAAATAGGTCTCTTTGCAAGTAAGTGTGTTGTTCCTGGGCCCCAGATCAGTCGTCTCTGCAAGTCCTTGTTACTTCTAGACTCTGGTTTCTGTTCCCCCAAACTCATTTATTCTTTTTTAACTTTTTATGTTTCGAGAGTGGGTTTTCCATATCCCAGACCGGTCTTGAACGCCTGTTCTTGCTGCTTCCGAGTTCTTGCCTTCCGAGTGTTGAGTTTATGACATGAGTGTGCCACCACCGTCACCTTGTCTATCTGCTCTACAGTGTCTTGTCTTCCTCGGGGGGGGGAACAGGTTTATCATATTCTACTTGGTATCAGTAAACCATTTCTTTATCTAATTTTCTGACTATACACTTTTAATTGAAAGTTAAATGTCTTTGCATTTGTTTCTGTTGGGACAGATTACAACCTGTTATGACCTAAAGTTCTTAATTGGTTTTTATTAGAGGATCTGATCAGAGATTTTTTTAATTGAATACTGATAATTAGCCCTGTTAACCCTATTTCATTAGGAATACTGTACAGACAATCCGTATGTGGTTTTGGCAGTATCTTTTTCTTGGTTACAAGTAATAATTTGTTTGGCTTTAGGACAACAGGTATTTTTGTTGGTTTGGTACTTAAGATTCTTGGATGACAGAAAAAGACTTCTCATTGTTACATGTGGTTCTCCATCTGTCTTGCTTCTTTTCTCTTCAGAATTAAAAAACACATCTGGCCTAATGTTCCAGATCCTTCAAAGAGTCATATCGCGCAGTGGTCACCTCATACCCCCACAAGGGTAAGATAATATCTTCTTCCTGTCTCTAGTATGCAGGCTTGTTTATTAGGATACATTTCTAGGGTTTAACCAGAAGATATTCGGACCTGGCGAAAGTCAGTTGCTTCTTAACTGGCAGTTGTCAAAATCATAAATAATGCCGACTCACTCTAGGACACTGTTTACAGTAGCATGCTTGTGCCCCGTTCCTCACACTGTTGAGTAAACACAACAGACACTTGATGGAAAGTGGAACTTGAGAACCTGTTACACAGGGTCTGGACTGGATCGTAAGTGCTGGCTAACATTCTCCATCTTCACACTAAGCAGATGCGTTCAGGGAACTGTACTAGACTCTTACACTTCAAAAACACCCCATAGGGGAAGGCCTGCCTCTATCCCCTAGTAATCCTTGAACTTAATTTTAACAATTATACCTGTAAAATTTCATAGTTTACAAAACCTCAGTTATTCAAGTTGGAGTTTTTTAATGTTTCCAAGGCTTTTTTTTCTATTTAATTCTAGGCCTGCTGTAAGTATGAAATATTCCATATTATTTATAGTCTATTTATAGCTTACAACAATATTAATCTGGAAACTGGAAATACAGACTGACTCAGACTTATTACTTTCTTTTATTTATCTGCACTTGAGCTGGTTATAGACTTGCAGAGATGGATGATCCCACTCCTGAAAAATCACTGAAAACTTTCAAAGATACACTAACTCTTAGAATTTTTTATTTAAAAAAGTCATAATAGAGGACCCGGAGAGATGGCTCAGTGGTTAAAAAAGTTGGAATATCCCCAAAGTAATCATTCATTTGTCTTTCTTTCTAGCACAACTTTAGCTCCAAAGATCAAATGTATTCGGATGGCAATTTCACTGATGTGAGCGTTGTGGAAATAGAGGCCAACAACAAAAAGCCTTGTCCGGACGATCTGAAGTCCCTGGACCTGTTCAAGAAGGAGAAAGTGAGCATGGAAGGCCACAGCAGCGGCATTGGGGGGTCTTCCTGCATGTCGTCGTCCAGGCCCAGCATCTCCAGCACCGAGGAGGCGGGGTCTGCTCAGAACACCGCGAGCACCGTGCAGTACTCCACCGTGGTGCACAGCGGCTACCGGCACCAGGTCCCCTCCGTGCAGGTCTTCTCCAGGTCCGAGTCCACCCAGCCCCTGCTGGACTCCGAGGAGCGGCCCGACGAGCTGCAGTTGGCGGATCCTGTGGACGGCAGTGAGGAGGTTTTGCCCAGGCAACAGTATTTTAAACAGAACTGCAGTCAGCCTGAAACCAGTCCAGATATTTCACATTTTGAAAGGTCGAACCAAGTGTCGTCGGGCAGTGAGGAGGATTTTGTCAGACTGAAGCAGCAGCAGGTCTCAGGTCGCATCTCTGAGCAGCGGAGGCTGTTTCCGGAAGGCCCTGCAGCAGATGCTCTTGGCCCAGGAACTGATGGACAAGTAGAGCGGTTTGAACCGGTTGGAATGGAGACAGCGATGGATGAAGAAATTCCCAAGAGTTACTTGCCACAGACTGTAAGACAAGGTGGCTACATGCCACAGTGAAAGACTGGCCTGCGCAGCCTCAGCAGGTCCTGTGAAGGGAAGCTAAAATCCTCGTCTGTGACGTCAGATGGAAAATCAGCTTCACTCCTGAAAATTATCATTGCCCCTGAGGACACAGTCACAAGGGGCACCTCCGTTCCGGATGTCTGGGATTCTCCTCCAAGCACTACATGAACTGACTTCATCCTCTAAACAGCTGAAGGACTCTGTTTCGGGATGTCTGCACTGAACAAAGTGTGTCTGGGATTTAGAAAGCTTTTTGTTTTGCTCCACAGAAAGCAGAATTCTAATGAGCCGAGGCGTAGTACAACGTGCTGGTTTAATAAGACTGGTCACCCAGATGCCAGGAGCAAAGGTCTAGCCCCTCTTCAGCCAGCAGCATCATTTAAAAGTGCCATGGCGCCGACTGTCCAGATTTTGTCGTTTGGCAAAAGAAATAGTGAGGCCGGGTTCGTTTCTGGTTCTCCGGTTAGAGAACACTGCCTGCCTCCTGCTGTTTTATCAGTGCTGCCAGTTGTTACTGAAGGAAAGGATAAACTTGAAAAATGAGCCACAGACAAGTTCCCATTTTCTCACTATTACCCCAGACCTCTCACAACTCTGCTCATTGATAACCTCTTTAAAGTGAATTTCACCAACCCTGTCGAGGGCGCTGATAGGGCTAGCAGTGAACTCCAGCTGTAAACCAGCTCAAGCATTTGCAAAATTGCTATGTAAGCTGCTGACAGGTTTTTGAATGCACACAGACACCAGGACAGATGATTCCAAAGGCTGGTTGAGGAAGCACTTTATACAGTATGCATTCAGCTCAAAATGATTTTAATTGACTCCACCTTGTTTTTATTTTCAAGAATAGCAAGGTGTTTACTGAAGGACAGCATTCACCACAGCCCCAAGCAGAACCCCAGAACACAAGCCATCTTAATGGCTGCCACAGTGGCTGAGGGCCTTGTCGAATGGAGCTGAAGAAGCTGTAGGGTTTTGTAGAGTTTGCTGGGTGGGGATTGAACCCATGGCCTTGTACATGCTAGACACTCTACCACTGAGCTCCCCACCCACACATCTCATTATGTTGTTTAGGCTCAAGTGATCCTCCTGTCCCAGCTTCCTGAGTACCTGGGACTTGGGGTGTGTGCTGCCACACCCAACAAGAGATGGCATTTTTAATATCTGCCATTGCTGAGGTAGAGTTTTACATGTGACTTAGGAGTATCTTAAACCTAGTCCTTCTGGTTGCTTTGTGAAGGGACAGTCCAGGCAATCCAGGGGTTAGGACTAAAGCCATTAATGTATTTGTGCCTAACTTCCCAGTGTGACCTGGCCAGGGGCTAAAGGGAGAAGCTGAGTGGACAGGAAGGGACTTCTTCTCCGTTTGTGGCCGGTCACCACTAAGTGTGCTCACAGGAGAAGTTGGGAAGTTTCAGAGCATGGGCACACTTGAGTAGTTCTAGCAAAAGGCTACGAAAAATGATACTCGTTAAGTTGGATGCAGTTTTACCTTTTACTCTCAGAATGTTGTTTATATTAGATTTGCTGATATATGTTATCATTTCTATTTTTATAATAGCTAATACTTTTCTGAGTCCCTTCACATGTATAATCCTTGTGAGACAGTAGACACTTTGTTCCATATTTTTGTTTATATTCAGTTGCCCACTTGGCAAAACCAACATGAAACTGAGAAAATGGCAGAATTGAAAGTAGATGATGAAAAGTCAGGAGCAGAGAGGTCAGGTAGGGTCAGAGACCAGAATTCACACTACAGAGCAGTGGCGTGATCACATTCAAGCTGGACCTCAAAGCCTGGTCCAGATCAAGACTGAATTTTCTATGTATGTATGTCAAGAAATTAACACGTGTAAATGTTTCGTTTTCTCACAGAGGTAGTCTAGTCATGTTGCTGTATTCATGTTTAGCTATAACCTTCCTCACATTGAATAGTGGTGCTGTGAACATTGTAGTGTGACGTCTGCACTGGGGGGTGGGGGGCAATTATCCAGTGTGAGTTTATGAATGCGCATGAGAGACCATTGAAGGAAGACCTCAATGAAGCAAGTTTGCATGTTGAATCGCATTCAGAAAATGTCCCAGTGAGCCAGTGTCCCCACCAACGGAGATGGTAGTGTGGCCACTGCATGAAAACTCATTCAGGAAATGTATAATGGATCAGCTTTGCCCTGAGAGAGAAAAACCAATCCTAAAACTTGTCTTAAATACAGACTTTGCTGCAGCATGTTTTAGAATAATCTGGATGCATGTACCTTGTATTTTAGGTAGGCAAAGAAACTATTCTGGCTTCTTTGTGTAAAACCAGTCTAATAAAGCTAGTGTGTAGTTACTCTTTAATTCTTTCACGTGTAAAAGTGTAGTTTAAAATAAGGCACATCAGAAAACAGCCTCTCCGTTGCCTCAGGATTCAGAGGAAAAGTCAACATAGGTTCCACATCCTGCCAATCGTCTCATAAAGATTTAATGCTGAATCACGATTACAAAACTATACGATTTCGATCTTTTACCTACTCCAGCAGAAAGCCTTTTCAAAGCCTGAGTCAGTATTCGGGAACACAGTAAGCAGACACAGGGAAGGGTGCAAACCCCACCTGGTTCTCGGGGCTGCTCAGTTCTTCAGTTTCTGCAGGATTCCTGGGTGTGGTGTGTTCATCAGCTTGTCTGGAGACCGGAGTTCCTAGAGTGAAGTTGGAGGTTGTTGAAATGTTTATGGACACTATTAAAGCTCATGTTTAAAGTAGGATGGCTCGGGCACCTTCCGACAGTAAATACTATTCTTACAGCGGTCTCTCTTTCTACCCACATAGTTAGTAAACCATGGCGTAGATTTAGACCTAATAATCCTAGTGTTCCCCTGTTTGCTACAGACATGTATTAACTAAGTAGAACAGTTCACTAGACTATCCTGTATGTTCGTTCTCCCATTTCACGTTACTGAGTTTGTTTTAAAAGCAAGTTCTTTTTTTTGTTGTTTTTTTTTTGTTTTTTGGTTTTTCAAGACAGGGTTTCTCTGTGTAGCTTTGCGCCTTTCCTGGAACTCACTTGGTAGCCCAGGCTGGCCTCGAACTCAGAGATCCGCCTGGCTCTGCCTCCCGAGTGCTGGGATTAAAGGCGTGCACCACCACCGCCCGGCAAAAGCAAGTTCTTAACCCATCTGTTTAGTAAAGATTTTAGAAAGGCGAGTAAAATCAGTAAGCTACAAGAAAATGCAAAGGTCAGTTACTAAAAATAACCTCTCAGGCCAGCTCTCTCCTGCAGGTCATTACTGCTAGAGTGTCTTGCCCAGGTAAGGTTATTTTTAAAATCTGCCTTCCTATAAATTAGAAAACACACGGCCCTAAAATGTCTATTTAGGGCTGGCATAAAATGGGCACTGCAGACTGCAAAGGGGTAAACCAGCAGACCCACACCTGGCCCACTCCGGGGCCTGGGCCCCGCTTTCTCTTCCGGTTACTCACAATTCACGTGTCGTCAACATTTTTCAAGGCAGCTGTACTATCTCTGGGATTCCTGGTTGGTATTCCTGTCACACGGAGATTAGTGTGTGCTCGAGGCATCAAAGCTAAAAGGACAGCTCCTGGTGAGCTCCTGGATTCCTCATTCCATGCTTTTCCGGGGCTTTTCCCACCTGTAAGCCCCACAAACTGGTTAGTTTGTTACTAACCAGTTGTCGGTACTGTTGATGGATCAGGATGGAGACACACTAGGCCAGTTCGGGATAGAGATTTTTACTCCTGTTGTGACTAGCTTGGTTGGGTCACTACAGGCTGCAAATGCTGTCCATGAATAGTGGAAGGTGATGTGTCAGGAACAGGGGTGTTACAGAGGTGAGTAGTGGAACACTCTGTAGCCTTAATGTTGGTGTGTAGTCCACTCTCAGAGCAAGTGCACTTTGCCAGCCCAGTGTGGCAGCAGGCATTAGGTGTGGCTCCTCCTTCTGTCTTTGCTCTTAGCTGTCCTTTATGGAGCACAGTTCTTTCAAGTGTGTCTGTTGTTTTAGGGGCCCACCTCCAGCACCCACGTAGCTTCACTTGGAACGCTTGTGCGCCTATTACCTCTGTAGGGAATTGTAGCATGTGCTGAGTATGACCAAAGCTGTCATTTTTATGTTGACTTACCATCAGTGTCTTACTATATCAGCTCTAATCCTTTAAGTAAATTTAAGAAAGAAACTGTTGGTTTTTCCTGTGTGTGGTCACCACTCTCTGGATGTCATGCATAAGGTTTTGGTATCAGTACTGGTGTTGGTTAATATGGGTCTTAGTATAGATGATGTTTTATGAAAGTGCTATGGCTTTTTAATTGCTATTTTGGCATAATGGAATAGGAGTTAAAATAAGCTGATACACTGCATTGTCCTCAGTTCAGAAGACTCGACAGTCAGTTACACTTTCCAGATTTACTGCATGAATTCTGGAATTCCAACATCTTTGCTCCCAGTGGGTGATCCCCTATGTATTTGTTCAGGGACCAAATATAGCGGTGCTGCACCACCTTGTGGCCGGTCCATGCTGCTGCAGTCTCCACATGTGCCTCTACGTGAAACCAAGTCAGCAATGACAAGAAAAGGCCTAGAAAGGCCAAAACCTACAAATTAGCCAAGGAGTAAACATCACTCCTCCAAGTCTATCCTCAAATTTATACAAAAACCTTCAGTTTGGAGTGTTTGTTTAAATCCCACTTTCACTAGAGGTCTAAGAGGCACAGCCTGCCTTCTAATGTACTGTGTATGTGGGTAAAAGTCCTTCCTGCTTTCAGAAGGATCATTGGTTCCCTAGAGGGAAATTCTCATCTTACTGAGGGTTGCTCACCTTTCTATTGGTTCGATTTTTCTTAGAGTAATGTATAAAAATCCTTCCATAAACTACATGTGTGCACTTCCGTACAGAAGGCTCCGTGTGGGTGTAGGCATTTAGGTTGGGCTCTTCCCCCACCGCAGGAGGGGGAGATACTCTAGGTTCTCCAGTTATTGACTCTGAGACAGCATTCTAGCATTTGGGGGATGAACAGACCAAAGGAGACAAAGTAGGAAATTGGGAGCCCTTGGGGCATGTTTCTTTGATCTGGGCAACATCCGAAGCGGGCTGAGAGCGATAGGAAAGTGAAATAGCGAAGACATCAGGCCGTATGACTGGCAGACCAAGACCAAGGAAAGGCAGCCAAGGAGGGGGAGCAAAAGAGTTGCACCCCATTTCTGAGGCTGTGAACACATCTAAACAGCCTCCCAGCGGCGAGTAAGGAGGCCCCATCTTAGTTGGGCAGCACCCAGGGAGGTCTTGGTGTCAGGGCCCATGCCAAGCCCAGCAAAGCTGTCTATAAGATCTCCAGAGGGTGGAGCCAGCAGCAAAGCCCACAGTATGCACCCTAGCCAGAGTGTCTTCAGCCACTGATGGCAAGGAGCTGAAAAACAGCCCCTTTCCTTTCAGGGAAATTACAATTACCCACACACACCAAGAGGGGGCAGGAAAATCCGTGTTCCCAGTAACAACTGGTCCACAGCCTCCTGAGTTCAACCCTCTAGTCAGAGACCTATCCAGAAGCTAAATACAGTGCAAAGCCATGCTTAGGAAGAGCCGGTGCTTTGGAGGGCATGGTGCAGCCTCTTAGACACTCTTACTTGACAACAAAAATCACTGCTGTTGTTCACAGAGCCCCTGGTGCATACCAAACCCAGCACAGTACTGTCAACACGAGGTTTACGCTCCCAGTCACTCTTATGTTCTGTCTTGAACACTGGGGGTGCCCATCCGGAGCCCAGGACAAGGCCTGGTAAACCAGTCTCTGAAGAGGTGCTGTGTGAATCACTCACTTGAGTCTGGCAGGCCTGCCTCGGTGCTCCTGCTCACCTTCTCCAGAGCAGAGTTGCAAAGCTGGAGCTTACTACCCCATGGGAACAGCCTCAGCCATGGCTGAGCAACTGGCAGTGTGAAAGTCCAGCCCATTGCCTAGGGTAGACATGCTCAGAGGAGCACATCACTTCAAGGTCGTCCCTGGGTCAGGCAGGAACTGTCCCTGTGCAGGGGTCTCCCCATCCTACCAAGCTTCTCTCGCTCCCTTACCAGTTCCAGCTGGGGCAGGCCCTTAAGTCACTGCGCCTGTACTTGTCTCCTGATTTGTTCCTGAGGAACTGAAGATACCACCCCTGCCCTCACTTCTACAAAAACAGCATTCTGATTGGTGATGGTCCTCTGTGGAGTGACCGTAGTCAGGTGAGCAAAAGGTGGGACCCAGGTGATGGTTAGTTGTGGAGTCATCCAAAGTGACAGACTCCTTGAACCCAAGTTCAAACTTCCAGGGCCCATGGGATGGCCTGTTTAGGTGTCACATTTAACACCCAGTGGGCCACTTTGGAAAACTGGCTGGATCCTGTCAGCATGGAAGCTACCTTCCTGCTCATACACCTGACACAGCTGACCCCTGACCCACGCTTTCCACCTGAAATCATCTGCCTCCAAGGGAATAGCTATCCCCCTTTTACCATGAACCATGTCTAAGTGATGGTGGTCACCAAAGTGATATCTGGTTCAGCGTTAGTTGGGTGTGTTCATTTAAACACTCAGTCAGCACCTGTCTGTGCACCTGGTACGAGAGGCCAGATCCAAGGCTATCGAGTTCTTCAGGAACCTACAAAAATATACTCAGCCTAAACAAAGGAGCTATTGCCAACAAGCCAAAAAATGTTGAAATTGAAATAAAAGAATGTTTGATTAAGTGTGTAATAAAACATAATGTCAGCATCATTCTCTTGGAATTTATAAAAATGTTACTCATTTGTAAAACACTTACAAATGTGATTAGAATTGATGGCTATTTTGTTGACTGGAGTGTGGGGCGTTTACCCAACCACCCCCACAGTTCCCCAGAGTTTTCTTGAGTGCGAGCAGCAGGAAGTATTAGATAGAAGGATTTATTGCGGAGAATATCGCGGAGATAAACAGATAGAAAATAAAGGATAGCCTCGAGAGGGCCTGGAACCTATTCCAACGGCCCCCGACTGTCTCTGCCCCAGGGTTTTTATAGAGACGCCAAGGGGTGGAGCAAAAGACCTCCTCCCCCAGCACAGCCAAGTGCAGACCATCCCTGACACCTGCACTCAGGACCATGGTCCTAATCATCCTCTATGCAGACCTGCTGGGTAAAGCCACGAGGAACCTGAGAACGGGCTCCCACAGGTCCCCCTTTCTTAATATATAAAAAAAATAACTATTAATGGCTTACAGCAATCTCCATAGCTGTTACACCTCCCAGTATGGGAGTAGAGGATGATAAAGATGGCATTTCTCTTTTGAATTAGGTCCAAGGTGACTACAGCAGTCTTAGCTGCCTCAAGCCCTTTC